TCATTAAACCCCTATATTTGTACTTAATTGGGCTTGATTTTCTATCTCTTAAGTTAGTCAGATTTTCAACTCAAGTTGCAGGAGAAGGCTTAACAAAGTGCATTTCAGAAGTGTAAAATGCAATAGCTTCTCCTACGGATTTTGTATTTCCCCAAAACAAGTACAATATATATATACTCATTAATTAAAGTGATATATACTCACTAATTAAATGTAACAGCGAAAGATTTGCCCATATATTGGTATTGAAATAAAGAGCACATTTTAGTATCATGGACACACAGTTCACCTGTCAATTTGGTCATTTTCCGGGGGGTACGTTTATTCCGGAGGGTATGTTTATTAGACTTTGAAGATTTGTCCGGGGGGTATGTTTATTCCGGGGGGTATGTTTATTAGGGACATGAGAGTAGGCACAGACAGCAATGTCTAGTATAATTTCAACTTCAGCATCCAGTCAGATGCTGATTCTGATCTAGTCAGTCTTCTACATTAGCTTGTTGTATTCTACTTCAATGTCAATGTCCTTACTGCTTTTGAACAGATTATAAACATGATAGTTGCAGACCGTTTTCTTACACAAAGTAGTTGTCCTAAATTACATTAATTTTTTTAGGTGTCAGAATATTGCACAGTCATACTGTCTTTTATACTAAGCCAATTAAGTCATACATTGTTGTATTGTAAAATTCGTTGCACCTCAGACTAAGTCTTCTACTGCAAGGCTGATTTTATCTTCCATAAACCGATGATGATGTTTCCAGCTGGCAGATTGTAACAGAGTCAGGCAGTATCCGTGGTTTCACCACGTCACGTGACTCCCCTGTCCTGGTGGGGTCAGAGAGCTCAGGCAGCAGCGGACCGGGCAGGTCAGGGTCTTAGAATATGTTTTTATAACTTTCTCCCTACTGTCTAACCCATAATCACAGAGAATTGACAGCCAAAAGGCTACTTCAGTATGCTAAAGGTTAGTGATGCATACCTAAACCCAATTTCAGGTTCAGGTCCGGATTCAAGTCCAGAGGTTTAGGTTCAGTTCCGGACTTGTAAGTCCGGACCTAATAAAACCCATGGCATATACAAAATTGAATGTTGGCAAACTTGCAATGTTGTCTGGGTGAAACTTTGGCCACATAACATGGAGGCCGGTACTTGACGATGCCCGATGGCAATGTTTTCTTCGTCTTGCAGCAAAGATTTTAAAATCTACGGAAGGTTTTAAGTGGTTTGGAAAGAAAAGGGGTTTGTGATGTGGTCTTTTATGGTAATAAGTCCGGACTCGGTTCTTGACTTTTAGGTTTGTTTGGACTTGAACCTAAACATTCTTACAAGTCTGGATCCAAGTCCAGTGAACCGGTATGCATCACTACTAAAGGTTAATCCTTGTCGTTACAGATACATTTGTAGTTGCTGCATTTAGACTAGGCTTTTGATAAACTCCTGTCAACTGAACACTGTCTTGATATTGCTTTCATTGTTGTGGAAATTTCCCTGCTTTCTAGTACTGTGAATAGTACAAATTTTTTACATAAAGGCTGCCACAGAAGAAAGCAGATTGCAGTACTGATAGTGTTAAAGAAGTCATAATTTGCCATGTCCAAGAATTGACTGTTACCTTGTTTTGTCTAAAGAAAATAGTTAAGACACCTCTTGTCTCCTTTTTTGATTTTGTTATGCCCCAATTAAAAACGGGATACGCATGTCTATATGTAGTCTATGTAGCAAGTACTGTTGTGTAGTGCATGCAGCGAGTGCCTGATTTTGCATTCTGCTGTTGACCTGTAGTTCCCCTCCTGAGCACAAGGAGGCATCCATGAGAAAGATGCGTCTGGAAGAGGTGCGGTGCATCTTCCTGGCCCACTACAGCGCGGTGGTCGGGATGAGGAACGGGCCAGAGTACGGCGGGGGCTTGTCAGGATTCATGGGGCAACTAGCTAGCAAAGTAGGGTTCAGGCCAAGGTCCAATATTGTATAGGTTTTACCCACCCCTGGACCAGCACGTCGGCAGAACGTACTGCGCCTGCGCAAAACCTGGATGTTTCACGGTTTTTGTTGGATGTTTGGTCAATGCTGCATCAGAATTTTGCCCGTTGCAGACAGTATCTTTCCCGACACAACATTTGAAAGCTATAGACAGAGTGTCAACCTTATATAGGCAAATACGACCTTGTATGAGATCTTCCCTCGAAGTGCTATGCACAATACATTACGGGTTTAGCGCAGGTGCAGTACGTTCTGCCGACATGCTTCCTGGACCCATTGTTACTTCTCTATGTAGCAGGCATATAGTTGGACTGTACTATTATACTACAAGAGATGCAATGAGTTTGCCGCCATTGCTAAAAAAGGACCACATTTTCCAATGAAGAACTTAACATCAACACTGTCTTGTACATACATGTATAACTATTTCTTAGTTTATAAAGTACAGAAATTTTTAACCAGTATTTATTCCTACGCAGACTCACAGAATTGGTAGTTTGTATTACTGTCATAGGTTTAAAAGCTGACAAGTGGCTTAGAGAAATGTCAAGTGTGATGTTTCCACTTGCTGTAAAAAGTAGGCAATTAGCAAAAATTACAAGAACCAGATTTCAAAGTGCACTATCTGACTGTGTTAACCAGAAATATATGTGACTTCTGTGAATAATTTCATCAGGTTAGCAAGAGACTGTATAAGAAGGTTCTTTATTCGAGGGTTTTCACATCCAATATTCTTTTTAGTCTGTCACTTTCTGTAGAGCAACAATTTGCAATATTGCAGGAGCAAAACCTAGCTGCAGTATGAATCAGAACCAGTCATTGTTGCCCTGAAGAGGGTGACAGACAGTCACCAAAATGTTGAATATAAAACTCCAGGTTGTTGAATAAAGAACCTTCTTATGCAATTTAATGCACCTCTTGTTCTCTATGGTGCTTACTGGAATGGCTGGATAATGCCATGTACAAATGCAGGACGTACCAAGAATAACAGGGCTTGAAATACTGGGTGCATGTGCACCTTAGTGCACCCAAAATTGGAGCTGTGCACCCATTTTTTTTCTTTGGGTGCACTGGTGCACCAAATATTTTTGTAGGTGTTTTTGTGCATATCAAATGTCTGATAGTATACAGGGTATTCTTGACATGTAAGGCCACACCAATTTAATTTGTTGGTTCTCGGATTTTTTCAGAAAAAATATGAAGCAACAGGGCGAAAAAAAATAAAAATAAAAACAGGTCCAGGCATCCTATTATAGGCTTAAATGCTACAAAATGAGCCATGAAGTCAACACAAAAGGCTTGGTTAAAATTTAAACATTGAATTTTGAACTTTTAATCAAACCACTGCAATGATAGATGGGAAAACTGTAACAACTAGGAAGAAAAGGACTTTCCTCAACTGTTGGGGGCAAAACATGAGCATTTTTCAGTTGATTCAGGACCAGTAATCAATTTTTTTTTTTTTGCAAATCAGAAAAAAACGAAGAGGCGAATCCGAGAACCAACAAATTAAATTGGTGTGGCCTAAGTGTCAGATAAAAATAAAATCTTTGTTGTAGTGCTTGTGTAAGATTTTGAAGTTAGCTCCCATTTTAGCTCAAGCTCAGAAGAGGAGCAGTAAGATCTGTACATACATTTTGTAGGTTTTGTTTTATATGGTGCACCCAAAAAAATTTTTGTGCACCTAATTTTTTAGGTTGGGTGTACCAGTGCACCTATTTCCAAAAATGAATTTCGAGCCCTGAATAATGATTTCCAGCTCTTGTATCTGAAGGTAGCCTACGGATAATCAGACTGAGTGGACCAAATAGCATGAAGCTGTGCAATTCTTTCCTCCTCTCTGCAGAGTTTTCTACGTGACTGTGCTGCAATGACTTACTGTACATATTATACAATGTAATTCATGTGATGTATACTTTTGGCTCTGTTTTAAATTTCCAGTCCTTTTTAGAAAAGTTTTTGGAAAGAGCTGTACATATCCTGAGTATTCCGTTTAAAATAGCAAAATCAACCAGTTTCATTCAATAATGCTGTCAAGATATAGCCAACTACGTCATTGGTTAGGTTTGAAGAATTTGCATGTATTACAGGACCAATTTGGTAGGCCAGTCTCTGAAGTGCCCTTTGTTAGTCGTTATTTTGTATCTAAGATCCAAGCATGTTAATATGTTCATCATATATTGGTGTAAGCAGAATTTTGCTTCCATGTGTGTTTGCTTCAATGATATTCAAGCAAATATGAAAGTTCTTGTGTGAAATTTCACAACTACTGGTAGTACAAATTTAGTATGAACAGACCTTGTACAGGCCTGACAAGTTAAACTTTTTCACTTGTTCTCAAGTATTGAGTTGCTGCATGTTTGTAAACATTCTAACACTAATTTCTATCATTTAATGGCCGAACATGTTTGGATATAATTAAAATTCACCCCTGTAGTTCATGGTCACATTTTTTTCTGAAACAAAAGGATAATTATTACAATAATTGCTGCATATTTGTAAATATGATTATGATTACTTCCCATCTATTGATATCTATGCATAGTCATGTATAACATGTATAAGTTGTTACCAAGTTTCTTTTGAAAATTCATCAGTGTATATATGTGATGCTTATATGTGCTAATGTCATATGAGTTGACTGCTTAGGCCACACAAGTTTGAAATACAGGCTCTCAAATATGTATGGCATATATACATGTATACTATGCTATTCCTGAAGGTAAGTGTGCCTGCCATCTTCTGACTACATGTATGTTGTGAAGTTGCCTTGTGCATTTAATTGCAGTTGCAAAGTGAAGACTTTCTTTCTCAGGGAAGTAATAAATACCAGTTAATGTATGGTCCAAAATGAAAAAACAAAAACAATGTTGTCTGATAAGTATATCTCTACATTATAATCAAACAGGAATATGAGTTTTATCCTCTTGTCAATGTATCTGATCTCAATACATGTACATGCTCCTAGACAATAAACAGTTTATCATACCCACTATATGTTATAAGATTTATTATGTACAGTTAGAGTCTGGATTTTTACCTTTGCCACACACACACACACACACACACACACACAAAGAAAGAAACAAAAACACAAACTCTGGACATTCCTGTTCAATTTATTTCAAAGATGCAAAAGTACAACAAATGGTATCAAAAGCGAGAGCAGCACTGCATGAAATGCACAGCTTCAGAACTCAGAAACCAGTTCTCATATAAACCTTGCAAGCACACAAAATAAATCCATTCATATCTCATTGCACTAATTGGGTGCCCTGCCCTAACAAACCATGGACAGATTGCATCCCTTCATCACTGGCTTCATATAAATTTCCTGATTATTGGTAGAGAAGTATAGGTGACAAGGGTTCAACATATAAAAACATGGAAGGCACAAGGTAGAACGGTACTATATCAAATCTAGTACCAGGGGAAGCCCAGCTCGTCGCTCCACCGCTCGTTGGAAGATGGCTGACGCTCGGAGGAGTGCCATGACTCCTGGGAAGGACACAGGTTAAAAATGAGGTAAGTGCTAGCCTGTCATGTGTACAACTATAAGGCCACACCAAGTAAATTTTATGGATGACGTCCGCGCGCGCATTGATTTTGGCCTGTTCCTAGAAAAAAAAACAAGAAATTCTGCTTCCTGTAACTATGACCAAAGAGTCACGACAGTGCCTCAAATCGTCGGATTGACGTGAAACCCGTAACGCGAAAACAGGACAGGACGACAACTGCTGTTCCACCTGATTTATTGCTGTTTTGATGATGAATAAAAGACTTCTTGCTTGTTACACTGTGTCACCTCATTCAATTTATGTCCTAACATTTGTCGTCTCCTAGTATATTTCTAATCTAGGCATCTTGTTTTTTAGGGCATTTCTTGTTTTTTTTTCGCCCTCTCGCATTAGATTTAGGGTCTCCAAAGGACGTCATCCATAAAATTTACTTGGTGTGGCCTAAGGGAGAAATAAGGTGCTAGAACTTTGTAAAAGTCTCAACATTAAGAGCCACCAGACAAGTTACACGATTAACCCTTAGCCAGCAGTGGTAGCCATTTTGGCACCGGGTAGTCTCAATCTTACTCACTCACACTCACTGTCCAGGATTTTAATCTTAGTTGTGAGGAAAGGATCGCAACAATATTGCTTGCCAATTGGAGAATGGCTTTTTGGGAGGACAAATTGCTTCTGGAACACTTTAAGACTTGTCAATTGTTGTAGAAGCACTTTAATTGTTTTTTTAGCAACATGGCAGCAGTTATTGGCCCTACTAGTGATTGTGGTATTCACAGTAAATTTTATCTGGACATGATAACGAAACTATTTCCGAATGATGCACTCACTGACTCTCCTGGAGTCAAAACCTTGATGACGTCAGGATTGCAGCAATTTATAGTGAGTTTCCTTTCATGTTGGAACAAAGCTTGAACTCTACAACTAACAAAACTATCTGTTTGGACAAACCTTGGTGTGTTTTACGGCACACTCGACGCAGGCGCAGGCCTCGTGGATCAGCACGTCCTTGTTCAGGGTGCGTCCGCGGCAGTCGAACTGCTCCTCGGCAAAGCTGGTCTTGGTTGGCCGGCAGGTCTCGGGACAGCGGGGCACCTGGCGCACGGTCTGGCAGTCCTGGAAGCTGGGGGCAGGGTGCTTCACAAATTGCCTCACAGGCTTACAGCCTACAATGCACAAAACCACATACAGTGTTAGAAAAACCCATCTGCAGTCTGCATTTTGCACTTTTTCATTATTGCAGAAGAAAAATTAAGCAACCTGTAATTTTGCAGACAGAAAAACTCAAGCTACTCCTCAAACATTATTACATGATGACAAAATGAGGTCTTATAAGCATCTTTAAAAAAATGTGTTTTAAAAAGATACAAAAGTACAAATATCTTTTATTGTGTGATGAGAAAATATCATGAGCTTGATAAGCATCAATTATACTTTTCAAAACATATTTCTAACACCTTTGCATTGTGTAGTATTAGTAAAAAAAGTCCTGTAACCAAGCTTTCTTTCTCATATGTACATCTATCCAAACTAGTGTAGTACAAGATAAAAAGACAACATCGGTTTTTAATGTGCACTGTAGAGTTAGAGTTTGACAGACTGACCACAGTTGGTGCACTGCCTGGTCTCGCGCTGCGGCTGGCAGTAGCGGTTGGAGGCAGGGTTGGTGTTGCGGGTACGCCTCTCGCGCCACTGGCTGCCCATCTGGCAGCTGTCGGCATCACACTCGGACCAGTCATTCCAGGGCTCGGTGGGAGTGCACTCTGTAGAGCAGGAAGGAGGACATGTTACTGGAAGATCTGTATAAATTTGCTATGCTTAATGGGATATTAAATTATTGATTTATCACACAATAGTGGACCAAGCTTTACTGTTCTTTTTTTTTTCTGCTGTATATACATGTACCAGAAGGGATTCATTCCTCAGTAATACATCTGGAGCTACATAGTTCCTGTTTGAAACTTTTATTCAGCCTGTTACGACCTGTTTTGCCCTGTAGGCTTCTTCAAATGTACAGAGGCTAAGTGACAGAAAGTTCTCACTTTTATATGTATACCTTTTACATGTTTTTTTTTTTTTTTGCTGCTGTTTTACCTACCTGAGTCAGAAGTCACCTCCGCTTCAGATGAGGACTGCTCCACAGACCAGGGACTCAGCTCCAGGGACCATTCTGAGCTAGCCTGCTGAACACAGTTATATGTGACAGTGAGTATCCTGCCTTCAATGTTACCTTCAAGTACTGTACTGGAGGTACCATCCAGGGTTCAAATTTTACTAGTCACATACTAAGAAACTGCCAGTATAGAAAGTTCCCGCAATTGACATAATAATGGGTGTTGGATAGAGCCATGTTACAGACACACTGTGGCAAGTGTCCTTCTCCTGGGATGAGGGCCTGTCCTTGGTGCTGAACCTGGGTGACTACTGTTGTACTACACACAAAGTTCCTGCATCTGACAGAAAAATGGGTGCTGGATAGAGCCGTGGTATAGACACACTGTGGCAAGTTTCCTTCTCCTGAGATGATGGCCTGTCCTTGGTGCTGAACCTGGAATGACTATTATTGTTGTACTACAGTAGTAAAGACTGGTACATACCTCCTGAGACTGCTGCTCACTGCTGGACACACCGTCGACCTGCCATCTCTGCTGCTGGGGCTGGTGGCAGTCCACAGTCACCTGGATCTCACTGGACGTCACATGCTCAGACTTCACTTCCTCAACCTGGGGCAACCACAACAATGTGCTACATTTAAAGATTTTGTTTGAACCATTCTTTATTCATGTAAAAATAAAGACTATTGACAATGTGTACAGACACACTGTACTAAAGACTGGATCTCACTAGACGTCAAATACTTTGAGCTCACTTCCTTAACCTGGAGCAACCACAACATTTTTGTTTGAACCATTCTTTATTCATGTAAGCTCAAATCAGTCTAGTTCATAATGGTTGAAATTCATCCAGTACTGTTGCTTGAGTAACTGTTTTTTGGCATACAAAAGTCATGTTTAGGATGGTTAGCTCACCTCCACGTGGATGGTATCGTGTTGAATGGGCTGCTGGGATGACACACACTTGTTGGGCTTGTACCAGACCAGCTGGTTGTGCAGGATGTGGCGCACCACCCAGTCCTCCGCAGTCACCTGCAGCCAGGAGCCGGACGGACGCTGACGATGCTCAACATCTAGATCTGTGGGACAGGGGCAGGTTCAGATGGGTTTGCATAATGCACAAAATGACTAATAAACTCAGTCTGGTGGATGTAGAACTACTAAGTACACAATACCAGGTCAGAAAAGAACAAGGAATAAAATCTTCAAGTACGAGTGTGATCAACTTGTTTTTTCCTAGAAGTAGAACTATGTGTATTGAAGACTGGAACCAAGTACAGGTGCATAATCACTAGACTAAGCTTTAAACAATCTTAAGAGATAGATTTGCAAAGGCTAGGTGTAACAAGTTTTTTTATAAAACCATAGCCAGCTGCTGCTGTGCCACATGTCTGCGAGGGGTGGTTGTATCAGCTCTACAGATACTGAACTTAAACTGTCAAGGAAATGAGATGGTGTGGTCTAAATATCTTCTACACAGGTCGACCCCAAAGACTTACCCAGATGCACCATGTCCTGGTGGTGTTCCTGTGAGGACTCGCTGGGGTGGAACTCCTGCTGCAGCTTGTGTTGGTTGATGTTCACGTCACCACTGGTGGCTGTCACCGTCAGCTTCACCTGTCAGCAGACCATCAAATGTTAGATTCTAATCGTAATGGTCAGTATGTATATTACAGTATGTATATAAATTCAAATATTATAGATTCTCATCGTAAAGGTAATGTCTTTTTTTACGACAAACTAAGGCCCTGGGATAAACTTTGCTGGTAGACAAAGCTTAGTTTAATGCATCTTTTATATTATTACATGCCAATTTTTGCCCATCAAAGATGATAGATTGGGCTAAAGTTCTTGTCCATCATGCTTGTTATAACACTGATCTGAAGAAAACAAACTGGACTTTTTAACAAAAGTGCACTAGAAAAAGTACCATGTTGGGAGCCGGCTTGTGCCACATGCTCTGCAGTTCCAGGTTGGAGTCGATGTGAGGTAGGGGGCGCTGCTGCTGGTTCACGCACATGTGGGACGGGGCCTGGACCAGGATGGGGGAGGACACAGGCCTCACCTCCACCTTATGCACAACCGTCATCCTGGGGTGGATCTTATCTGTAAACATCAACAGATGTCTGGTTAGAATACTCTTATAAATTAACAGTCTTAAGTTTGTATTTTTTTCTATCAAATTGATCATAACTGGAAGACCACTGGTCACCAGTGTTTAAAGAATTCTTCAGCACCTACTTGTGATATTTGACCTTTAATATGAGACATTTATTTTTGCAGTAGAAGTGGAAAGGAGCTTTTCATGACATGTAACATCTGACCAAAACCATATCCAGTTGCTTGAGTAACTGTTTTTTTGGTGCATCTTGGATGTCTAACTTTGACAGACGCATGGCAATCTGTGATTGCACGTGGCAAGATTACCTGGAGACAGTCTCATGGCGGTGCGTGTGGTTCCGTACTCGATGGTGATGCTGTCTGTGCCTGTGAACGCCCTGATGGGAGTGTACCTGACGGTCTGCAGGGCCTGCTTCACCATCTCGGCTGGGCCGGACAGGCACAGGTTGGTGGGGATGCGCTGGCGGACGCCCATGTGGTCCACGAACGTGCGCAGGCCGTCAGGGGCGGTGTAGGTCACCAGGCCGTGAGGGGCACGGACCGTCACATGCAGGATACCTACGTGTGATGTCACAGAACAAAATGAACTGCCTGTCTTTTGCATGGTTCACAAACTACTAGTATCAGTTCTTTTTGCAAAGACATATTAGTTCCAAGGTAACTGTGTGGTCACATTTGTTGTAAGCCTTTGTGCGATTTTGATGTCGAAGAATTTTCAAGCATGCTGTGACAGAACCAACCGCCAACGAGGGTCTAAGACAACCTTTTCTATGACAAGACAGTTGCATTCTATCTGTACAAGACATGCATGACTATTACCAGAATACCCTTACTTTGCGATCCTACAACATTCGTACCACAAATGGGCCCAGGCACCAAAAAAGAAACAATGACGGATGCCAAATGACACCAACCATTCAGAGACTCCTCGTTGCTGAGGTCCTCAGGGATGAGGTTGATGTCAACTGTCTGTCCCTGGTTGGTGTGGCTCCTCTCGTTGCTCAGGTGGAAGTTACTGTTGGTGGCCCACGGATCCACGCATCGCCCAGACGTCTGGTAGGCCCAGACTGTCAGCAGGTCAGACGGGACGTCAGAGTTGTCCTTGAACATGCTGATCTGTGGGGATGGAATAAGAACATTTGTGCTCAACCACAGAATGACTTGTCTCTAGCTGTAAAAGACCTAAAACAGCCTTTTTATTGTGGGGGAAAAATTAATGATATTGAAGGATATGACAAGTTGTGTGAAGATGCATTTTACTTCCATTTTGCATTTGCAGGCAACGTTTTAGTGTGAAGTCTTTCTCTTTATTTTGATATAATTTAAAGCATTTTGGTTGTAACTTATCTCTTGTTGTCAAGTACAATCGTTTTCTATCTCCCTTTTATCACCATCTTTTCGGGTTGGTGCAAAAAGCAGTCCATGACGTGCGGTAGCACATCAGACTGCTTGCACTTTTATCATATTTCACAAGGGGGTGCGACTACATGCTTTTTCCACCCCCAAATCGGACTGGACAGCTTTCTCCGCTGATCGGACTGGACCGCATTGTCCACCAACCCCTATATCTTTTCAGGTCCATCTGTTAACCTTCTTTGAACAGAAATTCAAGCTCAAAGAAAAAAAAAAACACACAGCATACCTGGATGCCTAGGTGGCAGATGTCAGTGGCCCTGACACCGTTCCTGAAGTGGACCTTCACAGTGCGCAGGTGTTCATTACACTCCTCCACAGACGTACAGGTGAACTCTGGGGCCTCCACACTTTCAGCCTGGACTGTAGCAAGCTGGGTGAGAGGAAACAACTCTTATAGTTGGCTGCATTCATATATACATTTAAATATAGCGACTTACAATTAACTCACTGTACCATTCAATCAGTCAATAGTCTGTGCTTTCAAACCTGCATTTCTCCTCTGGTCTCTCAGTCACTGATGAAAGCTAGTGGATACAACCTGAAACGTCTCACCGTTTCCAAAATCATATCCAGTTGCTTGAGTATGTAACTGATTTTTGGTGTATCTCCTTATATCTGGATGTCTAACCTTCATCAACAATTCACTGTACAATTGTACATTTGTGGCATCACTGCTGTTATATCTTGATGGCAAAAAGCTGGTCTTAAAACCATGGGTACTAAAGAGATCCCTTACATGGTCCTCAATGACGTTGAACTTGAGATGGAGGTTCACGTCAGTCAGCTGGGAGCGGATGTGGATGTCGTTGATGGGGACGGACTCCGCTTCAGAATCAAAGTAGTAGAAGAGGTTCCTACAGAACAAATACAGTAGCTCAGTTATCGATAATTATATAATTATACAGTGTACATGGATGAGGTAATGATGACACACTGCAGTTCAAGCAATGAAAGAGTGGCTGCATGTCTGTAAAATATTCGTATTCTCATCTTTTTTTAATCAGTGAGTGGCTGGATTATCCATTTGCAAAAAGGTTGAGAAATTGGACTAAAAATTCAAGGTGAGTTTCTTTTTCCATTTTGCAATCCTACATTTTGACAGAGGTTGGTGGGGCTATGGGATCGGTCTATCAATACAGACCATATACAGTACATGTACACAAAAGGTCAATACAGTTTAATGCAGACTGTTTTATAGAGAGCCCGTACTTTGGGATGAGGCTGATGGGACCGTTGGTGCGGGACTGGACGTGCACAGGGATGTCCATGTCAGTCACGGGGCGGTCACGCCTGTCCTGCCGGCTGGCGCAGCTAGATGGCGCCTCTTCGGACACAGAGATGTGGATCATGCTGGTCCAGTCCTGGCACTGCTGGTTCAGCCAGTAGGGCGGCAGGACGCGCGGCCACCAGGTCCACGACTTGGTGGGGAACGGGTACCAGAAACGGGGGTACCTGGCAGGAATGACAAAAAGGCAATTACTGTATAAGTCCCGGTCAACACATAAAGTCAAGGATTCTGCATAATGTTTGGCCTAATTCTGAGTAGCATGATGAAGGGAATAAAGCAGCTGAAAAGAGAATGCAGTAAAGTGGCAGGAAGGGAGGATAACTACAGATTGACCTTAATGTTCTACAGTGCAGGCCAGAAAGCAGGGTATTAAAGCAACAAATTCACAAAAATATTTCATGGAGCTATGAAATCTCCAATTTCTAGTTTACATTGTACTAGTTCCAAACATGCTGGACATGTCCTACCATGCAGGCCAGATGACAGGGTGGTTGGGGTCCTCAGACCGAGTCTGGTCCTCCTCGCTGGGGAACATCCAGGTGGTGGGAGGCAGGTCCCAGTTGGGGGGAGTCGGCCACTGCTGGCACCACGGCACAAACACCAGGCTGGACAGGGCCTTCTGCACCGCAGCCAGGTCACCTGCGGGAGGGGAGAGGAAAGTGATCTCAGTTTTATCTCACTGAACAGCTAATTTACCACTAGACATTAAAGACAGATGCTGTGTACAGTATTTACAGGTTAGTAGTACCAGGGAAATTCTCTTAGCTCATTTCGACAAGCAAAATGAACAGATCAACACAGTTTAATGTCCCATCCTAAGGACTGCAACCCTTTCCAGTGGCCTGCATGTCGAGTGAGCAACAACAGCTGGGACTCACACTCTCAATATCTTGGTCCAGTGGCTGAGGGTTGCTAACCACTGGACTATACAGTAATGCTATTTTTCTTTCTACGTACTAGCGGTCAATATGACACCCCCCTCCCCCAATTCTAACACCAACATTACTTCAGACACATTTTAGGGTGAACTGAAACACACCAGAGAAGGACAGAGAAGGGCGGCCATTCTTGGAGTACTGGAAGTGGTGGTGTTTGTAGTGCTGGTAAAAGTCATCATCCATAGTCAGTTCCTGTCTCTCCTTCTCAGTGCTGGTGTGGACATCATGCTGAAGTAAAGATAAGATGTCATTATAATGGACCAGGTCATGATCTTTAAAAATCAGTAGGTAAAACTTTCTGTACCTAGCTGATGGTGTTATGTTAGCTCTTCAACAAGTATATTACAGAATAACAGAATATTGATGCATGTGCTTGTTAATTTCTTCCTTTGTCTACATTTGTGTCATGTTGATCATTTTTCTGTTCATTCAATCATTCCTTCTATTGACAAGGCTAAAAATCTCTACCTTTCTCTTTCAACAACAAAATACTGTCCATCCATGAACTACAAGAAGTTGAAACAAAGTGTGTACCTTCCCCTAGGTCCTCAATGTACGACAACAATAACACGTACCCAGGCCATGTCCCTATGGCTTTCCTCAGAGCTGTGCTGTCTCTCGTCCGAGCTGTCCCACATTTTCCAGAGGCTGTCCCACATGTGAGACAGGGGGTTGCTGTCCTGGTGGTTCCTCTCCTGGCTGTGGCTCTCGTGGCTCCTGGGGTGCCTCCTGGGGTGTTCCTGGTGTCAGGAGAAACAACACTCTGGTTATGTGTCCTACCAGTACTAGGCTCTAATGGTCAGCAAAATACAGGTATCAACATTTTTCATCAATCAATGGGGCATTATCACACATCAGATAGTTCTGTATCTATACTGTATATTGAAAAAAACATACAGCTGTAATGGAAACCTACAGCATGACTGTACATGTACATGTAACAACCTGTTGTTATCATTTGGTCTCCAGTGCATTTGCAAGAATTACGTATAGTGAAGACAAAAAATTGATTGTACATTACACAGTATATCTTGCAAGCAGTAACAACTATATAGTTTCAAACAAAGACGATATCATAATGATTTAAGCTTCATATCACTCTCCCTGTAGACTTATATTGAAACAAAATACAAATCCAACGTAGCAATGGACTTACAGATGTACATACAGCTGCAGAAGACTGCTTACTGTAACTGGACCCTGGGACCTACCTGTGAAGAGCTGTCTTCCCTAGAAAGCTCACTCTCCTCGGAACGCTGGTGGGAGTCCTGATGACGATGATGTCGAGTATCATGCTGGTTGGTAGTCTTGGACTGGTGGGAACAGAAAACACATCATTCTTAAAATACAGTTCAATCAAATCAAAAAGTTTACACCTGTATGTCCTGAAAACTCAATCTATGTTGCAGCAACACTAACCCTATGATGGAACAAAATTATGGTCGTTGAAACATATAGGGTCATCAAAACACAGGGGTGTCAGAACATAGGTGTGTCAAAACATGGAAATGTCAAAACAATACACTGTAAGGGCATTGGAACATGGGCATCGGGAAATAGGTGCATTGGAACAATAAGGGTGATAGAACATAGGGAAGTCAGAATAATAAGGGTGTCACTGTCAAAACATAGGGATGTCTCCAATACAAAATATGTAACTGCTAGGAGACAGGTGTCAATGTAAAAAAATCAGTTTTCTATCCACAAACATCGACTAATGATATTAGATACTACCTTGGCATCAGAGGTGAAGACAATGGAGTCCAGACCGTCCCTGACCCACAGGTGTCCCCCTTGGTTCACGGTAGCGTGGACGTGGTAGCGACCGTTGTGACCCTCGGCGTCCTGAATGCGCAGGTTGGACAGAAGCACGGGACGGCCCTCGCTGGTGCTCAGGGCAAGCTGCTGGCCGCTGCTGGAATGCGTGTCTGAAAGGAGTGTGACATTTCCTGTTACATTAAATAAATGACTAATTTGTATGATACATTGTATGCTCTTATAAGCAATGTACTTGTAAAAGAGCTCAAACTGGTACCATGATTTTCGAAAATAATTTCATCAGATTGGTAGAAAATAGGATGTTGAGATTTTTTTCATACACAACAACCAGTGCTTCTGTCAACTTGCTTACATTTTGTTGTCTATCACACACCTTCCTCAGAGCTTCTGACTGGAGTACTGCTTCTCGCCACTGTATGTAGCCAATTGGAGATACATACAGTGGCGTTATCTAGCATAATCATATGTTATCTATTACACAATAGGTAAATGTGAGTACAAAGACTATCCTACATACCAGTGTGGTGGCTGCGGATACAGCGCAGGTACTCCTGTCCCAGCCACTTCTCCCAGCTGTCCTTGCTGCCCACCTCCACCAGATGCTGGGTGTCGTCACGGAACAGGAGGTCATGGCCGCCGAAGGAGGAGGAGTCAAACAGCTGGAAGTCATTCTCATTCTCATCAGAAGCAAACTGCTCCTGTGGAGGGAAACAGGTTCATGAGGAAAAACCATTCCCTTAAAACTTAAGAATATTATCAGAAAAAGGAAGCTTGGCAGAATCTGCAAAGACTGAAGAGAGAATCATGTGATACCTAAAATGGTCACGTTCACGTCACGTGATTAGATATTCGGCAAGCTAGTTCATCAACATATGATTAAGAGGAGTACTTTGCTTTGTTCAACAATCAATGTACTTCTGAAAATCATGACATGTTGCAGTCATTTTACTGTCACAGTTTTCACATTGACATCTTTACTGAAAATTCATGACATTGCAACTATATCAGTTTGTACTACAGAATTGTGTCAAGCACGAACTTTTAATTATGCCCCTGTGAATGAATTTACAGCACTGCCTGAGTACTTCTCAACTGGATCCTGCCTACCTGAACGCCCTTCAGCAGACGCACCACCCTGTTGACCCACTCCTGGCTCCTGTCGTTGGACGTCATCACAGTGTGGGATGGGACGCGGGCCAGGCTGCACTCGCGCCACTGGTCCACGGGCCGGCGGGAACCGTCCGTGCACAGCAGCTCAAAGTCGTCGGCGTGCAGACCGGCGGCCCAGTTCTCAGGGTTGTGTCCATCAGTGTTGTCCTGGACAGTCTGGTGGTTGATAAAGGCAACATCACCGGCTCCCTCAGCAAGGCACCTGGCAACGCAAGATTCATTTAATTTCAGTCTCTACAACGTCTTTGAAGCTTCTAAGTTCTGTTTCATTACATAAAAGTTCTCAACACAGACTATGTCTTTAAAGAAGCAGGAACAGAAAATGTCTTCTATCATTATCATAATGATAGTTTTCCTTAATTGCTCATACCTGAAAGCTCCAGCATATCCGTAGTATGGCTCATTCTTGTTCCTGACACAGTGGTCCTCTCCAGCACCAGCACACAGGGAGCACAGGGTGGAGGGGTTGGTGTTCTGGGGATCATACTCAGGGCTCTTGGCACCTATGGGGTATTTAAAACAATTAAAGGGTAATTACCTCCATGAAAAATGGACGTATTGTTTTTGGTACGTATGTGTGTGTTGTGAGTGTGTGTGCCTGTGTGTGTGTGTGCCCGTGTGTGTGCCTGTGTGTTTCTACATGGCCCTTAGGTTAGGTAGTAATGGATGTGGTTGGACTTATGATCACTCCGTCCCAGAGGGACAATCTTACAGGTGGTGTTGTTTGGCAAGATCTAATTTCTTGGAGGTCTGAGATCCCCGAATTATTGTTTACAACATTGAAACTGTTAAAATATGTGGCTGAAACATCTGTCTGAAGCACTGTCCCTGATCATGAACCAGACTAATCTCACCATCAGACCATCAGACATACAAGTCAGTAACCCACTCACCAGGCACACAGCTCTTGCTGAAGAAGTGGCCCACGGCCTGAACCAGACTAGTCTGACCGTCAGGCATATAAGTCAGTAACATACTCACCAGGCACACAGCTCTTGCTGAAGAAGTGTCCCACGGCCTGAACCAGACTAGTCTGACCGTCAGTCTGAACAAAGTCCTGGTCGACCAGCCAGCCGGTGGGGATGATCCAGCCGGCCGTCTTGCCGAGACCGGTGTGGCAGGACTTACGCCCGCGCAGGTTGTTCATGTTGATTTCTGGGTTGTCCTTACGGACCACAGCAACAGCCCAGTAGCTGGCATCACCTGGGACACACATTGTACATATGTCAGTCGAAATAGGAAAGTAAAAGGAGTTTAGTTTGTGTCTATTTAGTTTAACTCTTACTGAGCAAAACCTGCATCTCATTCAGGTTGGTTTAGTGGCAGGTTGTCTTCCTGACATCATGTTGAACACTACGATCTAAGCTTTAATTTTAGTTATACATGTGTTTACTTTAAATACCTACCGTTTCCATAGTCCTCCCCCATGATGGGCCTCATGTTGTACTTCATCCCAGCCTGGTAGATATCTCCTCCATCCAGGGTGATCACATCAGCCTGGGGAAGTGGAACAGATGGAAACATTGGTTTTGGTCCTTCTAAATGTATATTAAATACCAGTATAAAAAGCTTCTTTATACAGTCACATATTATGAAAGGTCTAGCATGTCTGTACAACCAGGTAAGATGTCGTCTTTCTTACATTCAATGAAAAATCAGCTTTTTAGTCAGCTCAACTGCATCCTAAACAGCATTTTTTTCTAAGGCAAAGTGTGATTGTTTCTTTATACAGGCATATTTATCAAGCTATATGACTGATTGAGCTTAGTAAACACACCTGGTTCATGTGGATCATCTGCATGCACTGGTCGGCGTTGTCAGCCTGAACACACTTGACAGTGGGGAAAGTAACGAAGTCATAGCTGTCCAGGGAGCTGCTCATCCTCTCACACTTCTGCTTCTCCGCCTCGGAGGTCACACACCACCTCACCTGCTTATCTGTAGGATATAAGATAGTGCAGGCATTTCTTCAGTAATCCATCCCATAGAGCCTGTTCTCATCATTAATAAAAGCACACTGAGTCCTACCAACTTGTACTTCTCTTCACGATCAGTGCTGTTTGTAAGTGATAGCTACATGTACCATGGCTGACAGGTACAGCACCTGCATCATCTGCGCAAGCACCTGCGTCGCGCGAAAAAAGCTGCACAGATGATGCAGCTGCAGCTTTTTTTCTGCACAGAAGACGCAGCTTTTTTCTGCAAAGATGACTCAGGTATTTGCACGGACGATGCAGGCGCTGTATCTGTCACCCACAGTAGATATCAACAAACCATAAGGTAAACATGTCTTTAAAAACTTCAGGAAGTCAGTAAGTAATGTTAAGCTTCGAGGAGAAAATGCGGAGGAATTTATCAGAATATTAATCATGAAAAAACTACAAGAAGAACCATATCATGCCACATACCCAGCACCCGCTGTGTCCTCTGCTCATCACGATGGATCATGCTGCGGATGGATGTGAGGTAGCTGGAGCCGAGCCACTTCTGCCACGTGTTCCGCTGGCCCACCGGGACCAGGCGCTGCACGTTGTCACGGAACAGCAGGTCACGACCTCCGAACTTGCTGGAGTCAAACATCTGGAAATCGCTGTGCTGACCGAAATGTTCCTGTACGAATATTTGGGAAGAGAATTAATTTATTTAGTAGTGTATAATAACTTCACAATCATAACAATGGCAACTGCAATCGAAGAAAGGTTTGGTAGTCACAAAAAGTGATCTCAAACTAGTTTACTCTATGGGCAGTTGAGCTACACTTTTACTAAACCTGACTCAGACAGAGAAGACAGAGGCTGTGTACAATAGATTCATAAATTAGCATACACATGATAATTGGGGGTCATGACAAAGGAATATACAGTAACTCATATCAAAATGAATGTAAATTTGATATGAGGAATATAGAGACTATACGGCATGTGATGACATGATATTGGAGTGCGTATCTAGTAAAACTGAGATTAGCTCCCAACCTGTGCCTGGGTGAGGATGTTCACAATCTGCTGAATGTCTGTCCTACTGCGGGGAGATGTCATGACAGCGTGGGACGGCACACGGGCCAGGTTACACTCCCTAGGGACAGAATAACACAGAAACATTGTAGAAATAAAAGAAACAACACACATCTTCTTAAACTGTTTGATTTCATTCATCTCTGCCATTTCTTTGATGAGTTGTCACAAAACAGGTTGTTCTCTACTTCTCACAACATAATACAACAGAGCTCAGCTTCCATCAGAAACTTTTTATGAAACAACAATAAAACATGATCAGCTATCAGTGATACAGCACCTCATTATTTCAATTCTTGTTGACGAGATTAATGAATTATGTTGCCTGCTAGGGTAGTGCACCTACTTGTACTGGTTCCACTGCTTGCGGGAGCCGTCAGGACAGAGCAGCTCAAAGTCGTTCTGATGGAGGTTCCTGGTCCATTCCTCCTCACTGCGGCCGTTGGTGTTCTCAAAGATGGTCTGATGGTTCACAAAGGCAACTTCACCAGCACCCTCAACAAGGCACCTGGTGGTGTTCGAAACAATTTTTGACAAAAAGTTAGAATTAATCATAAAAAAGAATGTTTGTCAGCAGCTTCTCTTTTAAAAATCGTCACAAAAGAAAATAATACAGTTCACAGCCAAAAGTTTCATTCAAGGACAATACACTAAGCTAAGTACCTGAATGCTCCAGAGTATCCATAGTAAGGCTCGTTGGTGTTGCGGACACAGCGGTTTTCTCCCTCCCCGACACACAGGGAGCAGAGACTCTCAGGGTTGGTGCCATCAGGGTTGTACTCGGGGCTCTGGGCACCTGGAGATACAAAGTAACAACATTGCAAACATCTTCCTTAGATAAAGTTACAATCTGCATATTCTATATTGCTGCATCTGGCTGTGATTCCTCCCCCTGCATGTTTGGCCAGCTATGACCTATGTGATGAACTGGGCTTCATGTTACCCTATTACTTTTTAATCAAGAATGATTTTACTACTAAAGGTGAGTCAGGATGACAGCAACTGTTCTCGTTAACTACCTTTGTCAACACAACAGATACAAGAGCACAACGCATGATCTACAATTTGACTTCAAAGGAAAGTACATAGAGTCAGATCACTCCTCACTGACCAGGCACACAGCTCTTGCTGAAGAACCTGCCCACAGCCTGTGGGATGGACTTCTTGTTGTCCAGCTGGATCTGGTTGTTCTGGATCATCCATCCAACCGGCACGTTCCAGCCGGACGTCTTGCCGATACCGGTGTGGCAGGACTTACGCCCGCGCAGGTTGTTCATGTTGATTTCTGGGTTGTTGATGCGTGCAACAGCTACAGCCCAGTAGCTGGCATCACCTTTGAAGGAAGCGCAACTGATTTTAATACAATGTCATATGTACAAAAGCATTGTCTTACAATGACGGTAGGAAAGATCAAGGCATCTCCTGAGAATCTTATGATTTGTTATGTACTACAGTATACGCTTTTATGTGCTACATGTATTTCAGCACCAAGGACATCACTGCCATAGCAATATTGTACAAGACTAAGCTCCTCAGAAGAAAAAGAAGATCATAAAGCACTGTCTGTTTGTTTGATATTTTCAAATGGCAAAATTTACATGTTTGAGATCATAGGAAGACAAGGACATATCCAGGCTGTACCGTTTCCATAGTCCTCCCCCATGACTGGCACCAGGTTGTACTTGGAGCCTGCTGTAAGAATGTCTCCTCCATCCAGAGTGATCACATCAGCCTATAGATAAGAATCACATTGAATATAAACACACACACACACACACACACACACACACACACACAGAAAGGTTGCCATATTTTTTGACAGTCCCAAAATAGCATGCAAAACTGTGCCAATACAATTTCAAAACATAACTATTAGCCGAAAGACAGACAATGAGGCTTGTAGCTATCACCTGGTTGTTTGAGATCTTGTACATGCAGTCCTCGCTAGACTGTCCCTGCACACACTCCAGTCTGTGGTTCAGTCTCCTGCTGAAGGCACGGCTCATCTCCTGGCACTTCTGCTGCTCCTGGCTGGAGATGGTGCACCAGCGAAGGGTGCCTGTGCAACAAATATCGGATTCCATAAATAATTTCATCAGGCTGGTGAAAGATTGAATTTCAAAGTTCTTTATTCACAGCCACTTGTTTACAAAAGCTGATATTTTGATGACTGTCATTTTCATTACAGCAATTCAGGCTGGTTCACTGTCCACTCTGCACTACACATAGCTTCAGTGCATAGTGAAATAGTCAGAATTGCTCTGATGAAGATAAGAGACAGTCATAGAAATGTGGTTGGCTCTTGTAAACAGGTGGTTGTGAAGAAAGAACTTTGATATTGTGTAACAAATAGTACTTTTCTAGATCAATTTTTAAAAAATGGTAAATTTACAATGAATCAAAGATAAAATAATGGTAGCTTTCAAAACAACAAAATTGCACAGCACAAAGCTGAAGGTCAGACTTACTGTGGGGCTGAACAGGTTCCACATCATGGTGGCTGCGGATACAGCGCAGGTACTCCTGTCCCAGCCACTTCTCCCAGCTGTCCTTGCTGCCCACCTCCACCAGATGCTGGGTGTCGTCACGGAACAGCAGGTCATGGCCGCCGAAGGAGGAGGAGTCAAACAGCTGGAACTCATTCTCGTTCTCATCAGAGCCAAACTGCTCCTACAAGTTTGGGGGACAAGGTAGATGAATCTAAGACCATGTACAACAAAGGGTTGCCCTACAATGTCTAACTGTCAAAGGAGAAGCATAACTCATAACATAACTAGAATGGAAAATTCCAACCAACTTGGAAATGCTTTAAAACCACCAGGACTGCAAATGACTTCTGCTTTTCACTGATTATGATTCTACAATGTATGTTAAGTTAAATAAGTCCTACAGCACATTTCTAATGTCCATGTCTGTTATTATCTGCAGACTTAAATACCTGATTAACCATTGGCCCTAAATTTATAACAGCTGAAACTGTCAAAAGAGGCTAACATAATGTTTCCTGACATTCTTTGCAGCATGTTGATCATTTGTTCTTTTCAATGTACGACGCTAGAACCCAAAGATCCTGTATCACCTGAGTGTTCTTCAGCCACTGCACCACCCTGTTGACCCACTCCTGGCTCCTGTCATTGGACGTCATCACAGCGTGGGACGGGACGCGGGCCAGGCTGCACTCGCGCCACTGGTCCACGGGCCGGCGGGAACCGTCCGTGCACAGCAGCTCAAAGTCGTCGGCGCGCAGACCGGCGGCCCAGTTCTCAGGGTTGTGTCCATCAGTGTTGTCCTGGACAGTCTGGTGGTTGATAAAGGCAACATCACCGGCTCCCTCAGCAAGGCACCTGGGGGTGACAATTGCAAGTAGGAGGGTCATTTATGGCAAGACAGAATTGCTGGACTCAATCTTACATATTGATCACTGCACCATGTGTGACTTGCATCTCAGAAATCCTACTAGTATCCAGTATAAAACCAGCAATGTTTTAGAAAGCAGTTATATTGTGACTTTTCCTTTAATTTGTTGGTTTATTATTATTTGTCAGAATACCTGAAGGCCCCAGAGTATCCATAGTACGGCTCGTTCTTGTTCCTGACACAGTGGTCCTCTCCAGCACCAGCACACAGGGAGCACAGGGTGGAGGGGTTGGTGTTCTGGGGATCATACTCAGGGCTCTTGGCACCTATAACAGAAGTCAACAAATTTACTAAGTGTGGTATTCTTTAGTGCAGCTACCTTTTCTTATAAGGAAAAGCAAACTGTAACTAGAAAAGCAACATTTACCTTCACATGTTTTAGTCCACCAAACTACTGCTCTATTTATTCTTATACATACCCATTCATATAATATAGGGTGACCAGCGTCTAATATAGGGTGACCAACTCTGTTATGCTACAAAATGTAACCCCATACCACCCGTTACCATGGTGACAGACATCTGGTTGATATCATTGACTTTGTTTGGAGAAGAGGAAAAAATTGAGCAAAAACAATATGTTTTCCTTCTGAAAAGGCAAACACAATAAATGAAAAACCTTCACAACTCTCAGAACTTGACTGACACATCTAATCAAGAAGCAATCAAGGATATTGTCACGACAAAGCACACTCACCGGGCACACAGCTCTTGCTGAAGAAGTGTCCCACAGCCTGAACCAGACTAGTCTGACCGTCAGTCTGAACAAAGTCCTGGTCGACCAGCCAGCCGGTGGGAATGATCCAGCCGGCCGTCTTGCCGAGACCGGTGTGGCAGGACTTACGCCCGCGCAGGTTGTTCATGTTGATTTCTGGGTTGTCCTTACGGACCACAGCAACAGCCCAGTAGCTGGCATCACCTGGAAAGGGAATGCAACTGATTGTGAAACATATTCACAATGTTGTATATACAAAAAACATAGTCTGCAACACTGGTAGGAAAGATCAAGCTCAAAACAGCTACACACATAACAGCGAGTACAGGTTGTACCTACCGTTTCCATAGTCCTCCCCCATGATGGGCCTCATGTTGTACCTCATCCCAGCCTGGTAGATATCTCCTCCATCCAGGGTGATCACATCAGCCTGGAAAGAAAGATAATACATATTAAATATCTGCATTAATTATTACAATAACAACTCTCTTGGACAATGGTGAATAATCAAGTATACATTTTTCTGCAGCTTTACATGAACAATCTACATTTGATGGATGGTTCATAAGTTGGTAGCTGAGGTATCTGTATCTGTATCGGTATAGCCAGTATAACCGCCCTTTGGCGTAACACACCAGCTTCTGTATCTGTATAGCCAGTATAACCACCCTTTGGCGTAATACACCAGCTTCTGTATCTGTATAGCCAGTACAACCGCCCTTTGGCGTAACACACCAGCTTCTGTATTATTCTGTATAGCCAGTATAACCACCCTTGGCGTAACACACCAGCTTCTGTATCTGTATAGCCAGTATAACCGCCCTTTGGCGTAACACACCAGCTTCTGTATCTGTATAGCCAGTATAACCGCCCTTTGGCGTAACACACCAGCTTCTGTATCTGTATAGCCAGTATAACCGCCCTTTGGCGTAATACACCAGCTTCAGAGGCATGCGGCACGGTGGCAGCTGGCTATATTACACCGAACGGCTTGCTACACCTAACCCTTGAATATTGAACTCTAAACATTGTTTAAAGCTTAGATCTAATGAGGTGTATAGTTCCTGGAGTGTACCTGGTTCATGTGGATCATCTGCATACACTGGTCAGCGTTGTCGGCCTGCACACACTGGACAGTGGGGAAGGCCACACCCTGCTTCTGCACACGGCTCAGGACCTGACACTTCTCCATCTCAGCATCGGACGTCACGCACCAACGCACCTGCTTCTCTGGAGGAAGGAAGTCAAAATCAAGTCAGAAATCAGCTGGAAATATTCAATGTTCACTAGCTGGTTGACAATTAACCAGCTTTTGGATTTTTCTAGAACCGATCCAGTAGCAATATAATGCAATGTACTACTTCTATCAGGTATTATGTATACTGATAGTGGTATCTAGCATACACAAGTCATGAAAGCAACGTTGCTTTGAATAGACTGCAGATATACACTGAAGAATGGTATATTTACCTTTTGGAATGCAAACACTGTTTGTTATATAATACCCTATTCTTAAGAATTGACCTTGGTTGTGAAAATGCCTTCTTGAACAAGAAGGCTTGGGCTATCATGGAGAACAGGAAAGGTAATGTTACAACCCTTCATCTGAATCATGTGGTAGAAATGGACTACTAGTAGTTCATACCAAGCACACGGTGGTTCCTCTCCTGGTCGTGGCTGATCAGGTGACCGACAGACTCCATGTAGCCGGAGCCGAGCCACTTCTGCCACGTGTTCCGCTGGCCCACCGGGACCAGGCGCTGCACGTTGTCACGGAACAGCAGGTCACGACCTCCGAACTTGCTGGAGTCAAACATCTCGAAGTCGCCGTAGGACTGGAAACCAAAGTGGTCCTGAAATAAGGAAAAGGGAAGGATATGGAGTCAGTACCACTGATGTTATATGTAACATTATGTGGCTCTGGAAATGGATATTGTGTGTCTTTGAAATAATGTAGACAGTAAGATGTAGGGCGCAGTAAGTAAGCTAGAGCTAATCTCTGCAGCTGCAAGGTAACAGAGGTCAGGGTAGACCAAGGAAATCCTGGACGGACTATGTCAGGAAGGACATTAGAGTGTGCGGCCTTGCTGGTGTGGACCTGCTGGACAGAGCCCTTTGGAGATGTGGTGTGAAGACTAGCCCACCCATGTGTCAGGGGCCCCTGCAACAGTATTCATCAAAGACTAGATGATAATGATGATGGCTGGTACTTTGTGTCCGAAGATCCTAGGAACTTCAAGGTTGTCCTCTGCAGGCCCTCATGTGGCTGTACAGACCGATCCTTGACCTGCAAGTCCTATGGCAGGAAGGGCATGTGAAACTCTGTACTGGTGGTGCCTGGGAAGCTGCAGCTCTCCTGTGCCTTCTCTTCTCTAAGACTACATACAACTACTGGATACTACTTATCTCACCTGACAAAGCTGCAGGAAGTCCACAATCTGCTGAATGTCTGTCCTACTGCGGGGAGATGTCATGACAGCGTGGGACGGCACACGGGCCAGGTTACACTCCCTGGTGGAAGAGCAAGGCGGAATTGTGCTCAAAGGTACTTACATGTACATATATGACCCAAGCAAAAATATCATTTTGAAAACAACAAGGAGATATTTAGTAAAGAAGCTCTTTTTTTCCCAAAAGTACAATATCATCTATAGCAGTGCATCTATAGCAGCGACACCTGTGCTGCAGTGCAATGGGAACCAGTCAGAATTGCCCTGAGGAAGGTGACAGACTGTCATCGAAATGTGAACTGTGAATAAAACACTTGGTTGTGTAAAAAAGAGCTTCTTTACTCAGTCACTTACCAACCTGATGAAACTATTCACGAAAGAAGAAGATATACTATGGAAAGTTTGAATGATCAGTTTGTCAATTTGTAAAGAAACATTCCTACTTGTACTGGTTCCATGGCCTCCTGGAGCCATCAGGACACAGAAGTTCAAAGTCATCCTCATCCAGGTTCCTGGTCCATTCCTCCTCACTGTGGCCGTTGGTGTTCTCATACACGGTCACATGGTTCACAAAGGCAACATCACCAGCACCCTCAACAAGGCACCTGGTGGTAGAAGACAAGAGTCAGACATTCAGGAAAATTAAAATTACATCAGTGGTATGAAATATCACCTTATAGCAACTTTCAGTCTTCTCAAAGTCCTTTGTGTACCTGAATGCTCCAGAGTATCCATAGTAAGGCTCGTTGGTGTTGCGGACACAGCGGTTTTCTCTCTCCCCGACACACAGGGAGCAGAGACTCTCAGGGTTGGTGCCATCAGGGTTGTACTCTGGGCTCTGGGCACCTGGTTAGAACAAGCAGTGGGAAAATGAGTTTGAGTATGTTTTAGTTATTCCAACAGTGTTTGATTTGAGTCAAAAACTGTTACAAAAACAAAACAGAATTTCTAGAATTCACTTCAAACAAGGACATTTCTGCCAAACAATAGTAATGTTGATGCACTCTTTTGAGTAGAAATCACAAATAATAGGTTTCCACTGACCAGGCACACAGCTCTTGCTGAAGAAGCTGCCCACAGTCTGTGGGATAGACCTCCTGTTGTCCACCTGGATCTGGTTGTTCTGGATCAGCCAGCCGACCGGCACGTTCCAGCCGGACGTCTTGCCGATACCGGTGTGGCAGGACTTACGCCCGCGCAGGTTGTTCATGTTGATTTCTGGGTCGTCCTTACGGACCACAGCAACAGCCCAGTAGCTGGCATCACCTGGAAGTAGGACAAAGCTTTAAAACAGCCGCTCTTTCAGCACCAAGGACAACAAAACAACTATTGAAGTGCCCAAGTGATTTCAAACATCTCCATGTTTGTTTGAACAATGATGATCTATGTTCCATACAACTCACCATTCCCATAGTCCTCTCCCATGACTGGCACCAGGTTGTACTGAGATCCAGCAGTGTAGATGTCTCCTCCATCCAGAGTGATCACATCAGCCTGAAGATTAAACCAACTTGAATGATGAAAACACGTAAAATGCAGTCACATATCCAAGTACCTTACACTAATTGCTAGAAGCAAATTTACAGTAAGACATGAATTCTATACTCTTTTGATCTTGGCACAGTTAAATGTTTATCTTTCTATCACAAAACATTCCCATAGAAAAGTACACGGAAAAGTCAATTTTCTTCATTCTCTTGGTCAGGTGCTCTTGGTCTAGTTACAGTATTCTTTCTGTTATAATAAAAAATAAATAAAATGTTGTGCTGCCCACCTGGTTGTTGGAGATCTTGTACATGCAGTCCTCGCTAGACTGTCCCTGCACACACTCCAGCCTGTGGTTCAGATTCCTCATAACATTGTGGCTCATCTCCTGGCACTTCTGCTGCTCCTGGCTAGAGATGGTGCACCAGCGAAGGGTGCCTGTGCAACATAGAACAGGTACAATATTGAAGCACCAACTTTTCATGAACACTATTGATCAAGAAATGAAATTTACAATGATTTACCCCTGTAACAACAAAATCTTTGCATTTTATGAGACAGTACTTTTCGTATACCGATTGAAAATCTATGATGATTCAACAACTACATCCTTGCTTTAACATAAAAGAAACTACCTTACTGACCTGCTAACCTTTTATGAGCACTTTTCTAAAAGAAATAAAAAATTTACAATGATACAACAATAAAATGTTTGTGCTTCTGAAAGCCTCATCTCTCAATGTAGATCTGATCTTACTGTGGGGCTGGACAGGCTCCACAGCATGGTGTGTGCGGATACAGCGCAGGTACTCCTGTCCCAGCCACTTCTCCCAGCTGTCCTTGCTGCCCACCTCCACCAGATGCTGGGTGTCGTCACGGAACAGCAGGTCATGGCCGCTGAAGGAGGAGGAGTCAAACATGCTGAAGCCACGCTCGTTCCCATCCGAGCCAAACATCTCCTGTGGAGGGAAAGTTTATTTTTTATTGGAATTCAAGAATTAGAATCCCTTCTTTTCAAGCTTCCTCTTAAATGCATCAGTCAGACAAAATCACGGTCAATATACTGTAAATCTGGAAACATTCGCTGTGGCTTAATTTTTTTGCAGTTTCTGCTGTGAACACTGCCATAAATTCAAGACATTGAATTATACGTTTCAAACATATTATAACTGTTATACAAAATTGCATCAACAAAGAATTAAAACACAGAGGAAACCCCCCTTTCCCTTCTACTGTATACACAAGTCTTCACAGATTCTTCAAACTTCCCACCTGAGTATTCTTCAACAGCTGCACAGCGCGGTCCACCCACTCCTGGTTCCTCTCTTCAGACGTCATCACAGCGTGGGACGGGACGCGGGCCAGGCTGCACTCGCGCCACTGGTCCACGGGCCGGCGGGAACCGTCCGTGCACAGCAGCTCAAAGTCGTCGGCGTGCAGACCAGCGGCCCAGTTCTCAGGGTTGTGTCCATCAGTGTTGTCCTGGACAGTCTGGTGGTTGATAAAGGCAACATCACCGGCTCCCTCGGCAAGGCACCTGGGGGAGACAAGCACATATTAAGGTCAGGTTTAGTGATCTGTTTGGAGATAAAGGTAAACTTTAAGATAGTCCTGTAGCCGTTTTTAAGGCCATAGGGGCAGTGGATTGTTGATCCACTGTGGACACAAGATTGGTGACATGTCAGGATTTGAACCAAGGACCTCTGCCGGCTCACCGTTATGCCACAGGATCCTACATCTGTCAAAAGGAACTTTATAAATCCATTCAATTACTTGAAAATTAAACCACAATAATACCTGAAGGCTCCAGAGTATCCATAGTACGGCTCGTTCTTGTTCCTGACACAGTGGTCCTCTCCAGCACCAGCACACAGGGAGCACAGGGTGGAGGGGTTGGTGTTCTGGGGATCATACTCAGGGCTCTTGGCACCTTTGTGTAAATATAGAGTACATTTAATGCTGAGTCTACAAGGATAGAAACACAACCCTTTTTTTAAGATATCAGAGATATGTTCAGCTGAGAATTGTAACATGCAGTTCACATTTTAACACCTGTTAATGGCATATGTGAAAGATGTGTAACTTATTTGATTCTAAAACTTTCTTTCTGAACTGATCCTGCTAACAACAAGTATGACAAGAGCAGTACTAAAAGAGCGGTGGTACAAGAGTAACACACTCACCAGGCACACAGCTCTTGCTGAAGAAGTGTCCCACGGCCTGAACCAGACTAGTCTGACCGTCAGTCTGAACAAAGTCCTGGTCGACCAGCCAGCCGGTGGGAATGATCCAGCCGGCCGTCTTGCCGAGACCGGTGTGGCAGGACTTACGCCCGCGCAGGTTGTTCATGTTGATTTCTGGGTTGTCCTTACGGACCACAGCAACAGCCCAGTAGCTGGCGTCACCTGGGAAGGGAGTGTAGCTGATTGTGAGACATATTCACAATGTTATGTATACAAAAAACATAGTCTGCAACACTGGTAGAAAAGATCAAGCCTAAAAACAGCTACATACATAACAGCGAGTACAGGTTGTACCTACCGTTTCCATAGTCCTCCCCCATGATGGGCCTCATGTTGTACTTCATCCCAGCCTGGTAGATGTCTCCTCCATCCAGGGTGATCACATCAGCCTAGAAAGAAAGATAATACATATCAAACCTCTGCATTAGTTGTTACAATAACGACTCTTTTGGATGATGGTAAATAATCAAGTACCGTATACATTTTTCAGCAGCTTTACATGAACAATCCACATTCGATGGATGGTTCATAACTTGGTAGCTGAGGTATCTGTATTGGTATAGCCAGTATAACCGCCCTTTGACATAACACACCAGCTTCATAGCCACGCGGCCCGAGGCCTAACCCTTGAACATTGAACTCTAAACATTGTTTAAAGCTATCTAATGAGGTGTACCTGGTTCATGTGGATCATCTGCATACACTGGTCAGCGTTATCGGCCTGAACACACTGGACAGTGGGGAAGGCCACACCCTGCTTCTGCACACGGCTCAGAACCTCACACTTCTCCATCTCAGCATCAGATGTCACACACCAACGCACCTGCTTCTCTGGAGTACGAAAGTTGACATGAAGTCAGAAATCAGCTGGAAATATTCAATGCTCACTAGCTGGTTGACTATTTTTGGATTTTTCTAGCACCGATCCAGTAGCAATATAATGCAATGTACTACTTCTATCAGCATACACAAGTAATAAAAGCAATGTTGCTTGGTGTAGACTAAAGATATACACTGAAGAATTGACAGGTATATTTACCTTTTGGAATGCAAACACTGTTCGTTACATACCCTATTCTTAACAATTGAGCGTTGTTGTGAAAGTGCATTCTTGAACAAGAAGGCTTGGGTTATTGTGGAGAACAGGAAAGGTAATGTTACAACCCTTCATCTGAATCATATGGCGGAATATGGACTACTAGTGGTACGTACCAAGCACACGCTGGTTCCTCTCCTGGTCGTGGCTGATCAGGTGACCGACGGACTCCATGTAGCTGGAGCCGAGCCACTTCTGCCACGTGTTCCGCTGGCCCACCGGGACCAGGCGCTGCACGTTGTCACGGAACAGCAGGTCACGACCTCCGAACCTGCTGGAGTCAAACATCTCGAAGTCGCCGTAGGACTGGAAACCAAAGTGGTCCTGAAACAGGGAAGAGGGAAGGATATCGTGTCAGTACCACTGATGTTACATGTAACATTATGTGGCTCTGGAAATGGATATTGTGTGTCTTTTAAATAATGTAGACAGTAAGGTGTAGGGCACAGTAAGTACGCTTGAGCTAATCTCTGTAGCTGCCAGGGAACAGAGGTCAGGGCAGACCAAGGAAATCCTGGACGGAGTGTGTCAGGAAGGACATTAGAGTGTGCGGCCTTGCTGGTGTGGACCCGCAGGATATAGCTCCTTGAAGGTGTGGTGTAAAGACTAGCCCACCCCTTTGTCTACAACAGTATTAATCAAAGACTAGATGATAATGATGATGGCTGATACTTTGTGTCCGAATATTCTTGGAAGGTTGTCCCCTGCAGGCCCTCATGTGGCTGTACATCCTTGACCTGCAAGTCCTATGGCAGGATGGGCATGTGAAACTCTGTACTGGTGGTGCCTGGGTAGCTGCAGCTTTCCTGCGCCTTCTCTTCTCTAAGACTAGATACTACTACTGGATGCTACTTATCTCACCTGACAAAGCTGCAGGAAGTTCACAATCTGCTGAATGTCTGTCCTGCTGCGGGGAGATGTCATGACAGCGTGGGATGGGACACGGGCCAGGTTACACTCCCTGGTGAAAGAGCAAGGCGGAATTGTGCTTAAGGGTACTTACATGTATGAACCAAGCAAAAATATCATTTTGAAAGCAACAAGGAGATATTGAGTAAAGAAGCTCTTTTTTTCCCAAGCACAAATGTCATCTATAGCAGTGCATCTATAGCAGCAGCACCTGTGCTGCAGTGCAATGTGAACCAGTCAGAATTGCCCTGAGGAAGGTGACAGATAGTCACTGAAATGCCGGCTGTGAATAAAACACTTGGTTGTGTAAAAAGGGCTTCTTTACTCAGTCGCTTACCAGCCTGATGAAACTATTCACGAAAAAGAAGATATACTATGGAAAGTTTGAATGCTCAGTTTGTCAATTTGTAAAGAAACATTCCTACTTGTACTGGCTCCATGGCCTCCTGGAGCCATCAGGACACAGAAGTTCAAAGTCATCCTCATCCAGGTTCCTGGTCCATTCCTCCTCACTGTGGCCGTTGGTGTTCTCATACACGGTCACATGGTTCACAAAGGCAACTTCACCAGCACCCTCAACAAGGCACCTGGTGGTAGAGGACAAGAGTCAGACATTCAGGACAATTAAAATTACATGAAAACTATGAAATATCACCTTACAACAACTTTCAGTCTTCTCAAAGTCCTTTTGTACCTGAATGCTCCAGAGTAACCATAGTAGGGCTCATTGGTGTTGCGGACACAGCGGTTTTCTCCCTCCCCGACACACAGGGAGCAGAGACTCTCAGGGTTGCTGCCATCAGGGTTGTACTCGGGGCTTTGGGCACCTGGTTAGAACAAGTAGTAGGAAAATGATTTTGAGTATGTTTTAGTTATTCCAGCAGTGTTTGATTTGAGTCAAAAACTTTTACAAAAACAAAACAGAATTTCTAGAATTCACTTCAAACAAGGACATTTCTGCCAAACAATAGAATAATGTTGATGCACTCTTTTGAATAGAAATCACAAATAATAGGTTTCCACTGACCAGGCACACAGCTCTTGCTGAAGAAGCTGCCCACAGTCTGTGGGATGGACCTCCTGTTGTCCACCTGGATCTGGTTGTTCTGGATCAGCCAACCGACCGGCACGTTCCAGCCGGACGTCTTGCCGATACCGGTGTGGCAGGACTTACGCCCGCGCAGGTTGTTCATGTTGATTTCTGGGTTGTCCTTACGGACCACAGCAACAGCCCAGTAGCTGGCATCACCTGGAAGTAGGATAAAGCTTTAAAACAACTGCTCTTTCAGCACCAAGGACAACGTACCCAAGTGATTTCAGACATCTCAAACTGTTGTTTGAACAACGATGATCTATGTTCCATGCAACTCACCATTTCCATAGTCCTCCCCCATGACTGGCACCAGGTTGTACTGAGATCCAGCAGTGTAGATGTCTCCTCCATCCAGAGTGATCACATCAGCCTGAGGATTAAACCAAGTTCTATGATGAAAACACGTAAAATGCAGTCACATACCCAAGTATCTTACACTAATAGTAATATGCAGCTAGAAGCAAATTTACAGTAAGACATAAATCCTATACTATTTTGATGTTGGCACAGTTAAATGTTTATCTCTGTATCACAAAACATTACCATAGAAAAGTGCACGGAAAAGTCAATGCTCTACATGTGTCTGCATTCTCTTGGTCAGGTGCTAAAATTACTGATGACTGATACATAAAAACTTTTTTGTGTTCCCCACCTGGTTGTGAGAGATCTTGTACATGCAGTCCTCACTAGACTGTCCCTGCACACACTCCAGCCTGTGGTTCAGATTCCTCATAACATTGTGGCTCATCTCCTGGCACTTCTGCTGCTCCTGGCTAGAGATGGTGCACCAGCGGAGGGTGCCTGTGCAACATAGAACAGGTACACTATTGAAGCACCTTTTTTTCATGAACACTATTCGTCAAGAAATGAAAGTTACAATGATTTACTCCTGTAACAACAAAATCTTTGCATTTTATGAGTGAGCACTTTTCATAAACAAATTGAAAATTATGATGATTCAACAAGTACATCCTTGCTTTAACATAAAACAAACTACCTTACTGAAGTGCTAACTTTTTATGAGCACTTTTCTAAAAAAAATTGAAAATTTACAATGATTCAACAATAAAATATTTGTGCTTCTCAAAGCCTTAGCTCTGAATGTAGATCTGATCTTACTGTGGGGCTGGACAGGCTCCACAGCATGGTGTGTGCGGATACAACGCAGGTACTCCTGTCCCAGCCACTTCTCCCAGCTGTCCTTGCTGCCCACCTCCACCAGATGCTGGGTGTCGTCACGGAACAGCAGGTCATGGCCGCCGAAGGAGGCAGAGTCAAACATGCTGAAGCCACGCTCGTTCCCATCCGAGCCAAACATCTCCTGTGGATGGAAACAGTTTTTTTATTGGAATTCAAGAATTGGAATCCCTTCTTTTTCAAGCTTCGTCTTAAATGCATTAGTCAGACAAAATCATGGTCAATATACTGTAAATCTTGAAACCTTTGCTGTGGTTTTTTGTTATGCTGTGACTTCTTTATCCCAAATTCATGCGATTTTAACTACTACTACTACTAGTACTATGCATTTCCAATGTATTACTACTGTACTACAGAATTCACTCACTCACACTCACTGTCCGGTTTAACGTCTGTTGTTCCCCGTCTTCCGAGGGTTAGACGTGCTTGCACAATACTTCTGGGGCTTTTGTTTCAACAATACTTAAAACACAGAGTAAACACTATATTCCCTTCTACTGTAAAAACAAGTCTTCAATAGATTCTTCAAACTTCCCACCTGAACGTTCTTCAACAGCTGCACGGCGTGATCCACCCACTCCTGGTTCCTCTCTTCCGACGTCATCACAGCGTGGGACGGGACACGGGCCAGGCTGCACTCGCGCCACTGGTCCACGGGCCGGCGGGAACCGTCCGTGCACAGCAGCTCAAAGTCGTCGGCGTGCAGACCGGCGGCCCAGTTCTCAGGGTTGTGTCCATCAGTGTTGTCCTGGACAGTCTGGTGGTTGATAAAGGCAACATCACCGGCTCCCTCGGCAAGGCACCTGGGGGAGACAAGCATATACCACGTTTAGGTCTAGTGATCTGTCTGAAGATATTTAGGAAAAGGTAGTCCCGTAGCCTTTTTTAAGGCCGTAGGAGCAGTGGATTTTTGATCCACTGTGGACACAAGATCGGTGACATGTTAGGATTCGAACCAAGGACCTGTGCGGGCTCACCGTTACACCACATGACCCCACATCTGTCCAAAGTACAATGTAACTTTATAAATCCATTCAATTACTTGCAAATCAAACCACAATTATACCTGAAGGCCCCAGAGTATCCGTAGTACGGCTCGTTCTTGTTCCTGACACAGTGGTCCTCTCCAGCACCAGCACACAGGGAGCACAGGGTGGAGGGGTTGGTGTTCTGGGGATCATACTCAGGGCTCTTGGCACCTTTGTGTAAATATAGAGTAATGATTTAATGCTGAGTCTACAAGGTTAGAAACAAAACCCTTTTTTTAAGATATCAGAGATTTGTTCTGAGAGATGTATAACTTATTTCTTTCTAAAACTTTCTTTCTGAACTGATCCTGCTAACAACAAGTATGACAAGAGCAGTACTAAAAGAGCGGTAGTACAAGAGTAACACACTCACCAGGCACACAGCTCTTGCTGAAGAAGTGTCCCACAGCCTGAACCAGACTAGTCTGACCGTCAGTCTGAACAAAGTCCTGGTCGACCAGCCAGCCGGTGGGGATGATCCAGCCGGCCGTCTTGCCGAGACCGGTGTGGCAGGACTTACGCCCGTGCAGGTTGTTCATGTTGATTTCTGGGTTGTCCTTACGGACCACAGCGACTGCCCAGTAGCTGGCATCACCTGGGAAGGGAATGCAACTGATTGTGAAACATATTCACAATGTTGTATATACAAAAAACATAGTCTGCAACACTGGTAGGGAAGATCAAGCCTCAAAACAGCTACATACATAACAGTGAGTACAGGTTGTACCTACCATTTCCATAGTCCTCCCCCATGATGGGCCTCATGTTGTACTTCATCCCAGACTGGTAGATGTCTCCTCCATCCAGGGTGATCACATCAGCCTTCATGGGGAAATTAATTAATATCCAGCATATTAGAAAAAAAAATCTGATTACAAAACCAAGGTTTGCATGCTTGGAGATAAGCTTTCATCTATCTTCTTTTGGCTACCTTGCTCTTTACCTGTACGATTTCTTCAGTAGACTATTGGAGCACGTCAGCATAAAAATGTACTGCAACTATGCGAAACCCGTGATGTATTGTGCATAGCACTTCTGCATAACATCTCATATAAGGTCACACTTGCATACATAAGGTTAACATCCCGTCTGTAGTTTCCAAATATTGTGTCGGAAAAGATCTTGTCTGCTACAGGCAAAATTCTAATGCAAGGTTGACCAATCATCGAATGAAAATTGTGAAAAATTGGGGTATCGTGCAGGCACAGTACGTTCTGTCGACGTGATGACTTTTGGGTCATAGTCCGTACCTGGTTCATGTGGATCATCTGCATACACTGGTCAGCGTTGTCGGCCTGAACACACTTGATGGTGGGGACAAAGCCACGCTCGGTCAGGGTCTTACTCATCTGCTCACACTTATCCATCTCAGCTTCAGACGTCGCACACCAGCGAATCTGCTTGTCTATGGGTTGGTTGATGAAGGTTAGACATCCAGGTAAACAATATTCAAAGAAGAATCAAACTCTACTACTGGATAAATAACGGAGATAACTTCCGGACGTTTTGAGTGACATCCGTCACTCTTCTGCAGCGTCACTAATTGAACTGTAAAAGAGTGACGGATGTCACTCGAAACGTCCGGAAGTTATCTCTGCAGTAGTGATTTTCTTGGGTTAGTGATCATCATTGTCATTAGATATGGTTCTGTATTTTTTTTGCAAAATCTATCTATTTGCAAAGGATTGGAACAAGTACTTACTGAGCACACGCTGGTTCCTCTCCTGGTCGTGGCTGATCAGGTGACCAACAGACTCCATGTAGCTGGAGCCGAGCCACTTCTGCCACGTGTTCCGCTGGCCCACCGGGACCAGGCGATGCACGTTGTCACGGAACAGCAGGTCACGGCCTTCGAACTCGCTCGAGTCAAACATCTCGAAGTCATCGGACCCCTCAACGCCAAAGTGTTGCTGCAATCAAATTTTATGGTCATAAAAAAAGATACAGCAAGCCACCTCAGACTGAGGACAAAGCTTGACACTTTTTGTAAACTAGTACAATGCAGCTTTGCTACTGCTAGCATTTATAGCCAAGTACAACTGTAGATTGAGTCACCCCTACTCTTCTCGATATGAGTGCTAGACTCTCTTTACATGCAGAGGTTTGACATACACGAGGACAGTCAGCTTTGCATCTCCATTTGAAAGGACGATGTGATCTTGTCCAGTCGTGTCCAGTTCCAGGCATACGCTTAGACCACTGGCTCCACTAGAATTTGATCCTCTGTATCTGTATCTGTATTGGTAAAACCAGTTTAACCGCCCTTCGGCGTAACAGCCAGCTTAGCAGGCACACGGTGTGGCGGCAGCTGGCTATGTTACACCAAACGACATGTTGATCCTGATCCAAGCTACTACACCACATGGACATGACTCTGAACTGACAGACTTCTTGTATACCCCAGTATGGAACCACTTAGTGGGATATATTAGTCAAGAGATGTTTTTAAGTTCTGAATCTCCTCCTACCTGAGCCTGGTTCAGGACCTCCACAATCTGCTGCAGGTTCTTCTGGCTATGGTAGGACGTCATGACAGCATGGGCAGGCACACGGGCCAGGTTACACTCCCTGGTGGAACAGTAATGATAATAATGGTTCCAGTACATTGGAGGTGTCACAACATATCAAGACTTAGTCTCCGCGTCACACTGTAACACTTGACAAGGTGCCTATTTTGGATACAGAGCAGGTTACTTTGTGAGGGCCTAGGGGTGTGGAGGCAGTTTACATCAGGGCCCATCAACCCTCTCTGAACAGTGACGGTGGTAGATTCCATCTTCCTGCCACTTATGATGCACTCCTGACGTTATCACGTTTCCAACTTCTGGAAAGTCATACATCTAGATCTATCGTAATTTGTATATAACGTTTTGTAGATGTGTTCAAAAGTGCATCTTACTTGTACTGGTGCCATGGCCCCCTGGAGCCATCAGGACACAGAAGTTCAAAGTCATCCTCATCCAGGTTCCTGGTCCATTCCTCCTCACTGTGGCTGTTGGTGTTCTCATACACGGTCACATGGTTCACAAAGGCAACATCACCGGCACCCTCAACAAGGCACCTGGTGGTAGTAGCACAGAAAAACATATTGAAAACACAAGTTCTTCATATAAAATGTTTAATTTCAATTACTAGTAGTCTTCTTATCAATGTCCTGAAAAACTCTTTTTTTTGCATTAGTCTGGTTATAGTACCTGAATGCTCCAGAGTATCCATAGTAGGGCTCGTTGGTGTTGCGGACACAGCGGTTTTCTCCCTCCCCGACACACAGGGAGCAGAGACTCTCAGGGTTGGTGCCATCAGGGTTGTACTCAGGGCTCTGGGCACCTGGAAATGTGCAGTGACAGAGAAATCAGTAAACAGATTTTAAAAAAAAATGTTACAGAAAGGTAACATTTGCAAAGCAAATGCATAATGTTTACCTTCCCATATGGTCTGCTGTGTTAATTCTTACTCAAACGCATTCATATACATGTATATGGAAACAGGAGTCTAATTCCCTCCTGCTATAAAATTGCAACATGATGTAACCCAACACTAGTTACCATGGTGACAGACGTATGGTTCAGGTCATTAAGCTTATTTGTTTGGAGAAGAAGAAGAAGAGGAAACTGAGCAAAAACAATATATTTTCCCTCGTTAAACATATCAGTATGCTATACAGAAGACGTATGAGAGTACTAGTGTACTAAGATGCACTGACCAGGCACACAGCTCTTGCTGAAGAAGCTGCCCACAGTCTGTGGGATGGACCTCCTGTTGTCCACCTGGATATGGTTGTTCTGGATCAGCCAACCGACCGGCAAATTCCAGCCGGACGTCTTGCCGATACCGGTGTGGCAGGACTTACGCCCGCGCAGGTTGTTCATGTTGATTTCTGGGTTGTCCTTACGGACCACAGCAACAGCCCAGTAGCTGGCATCACCTGGAGGTGGTATAAGTCAGTAGTCAAGAAAACCACCTTTTCAGCACCAAGGACAGAACACACCACTGGCTGGGACACTAGCACATAACCTTAATAATTGTTCAAAGTGTGTATTTTCTGACTTCACATTAAACACTGCTAAGAGGTCTAAAACAATTTCGTTTGGCACAGCAAGCTATTATATCAATCAATCAATTCTTTGGCAAATCCCAAAATGATAAAATCATAAAAAACCAAGAGAGGGAGAAGTTATAACTCACCATGTCCATAGTCCTCCCCCATGACTGGCAACAGGTTGTACTTGGAGCCAGCAGTGTAGATGTCTCCTCCATCCAGAGTGATCACATCAGCCTATGTATAGCACAAAATTAGAATTCTGTCATGTGAATAGAATTTTTTCAACCTTACCAAACATAAAAATATTCTGGGAAAACTTCTTATAAAACCATCAAACAGTCCCTGCACAAGAAGTATGTGTTTGAATACAAGTACAAGTGTGCCTTACCATGTTGTTGGAGATCTTGTACATGCAGTCCTCGCTAGACTGTCCCTGCACACACTCCAGCCTGTGGTTCAGTCTCCTGCTGAAGGCACGGCTCATCTCCTGGCACTTCTGCTGCTCCTGGCTGGAGATGGTGCACCAGCGAAGGGTTTCTACGTGGAAGATAGACTTTCGTTGTGAGACTTGTACAGGATGCTGAGGAGCCCAAAGGCATGCCAGAAGCCCAAGAACTGTAACAGTGATACACCCCAACAGCCCAGTACCATCCCTGGAGTCGCCATACTAAAGGAGCATCCAAATCATGGATTGCATCACCTAAAGTTGGGACACTGCGTGGCTGGCCGGTGAAGTTGCTGAGACTCTAACCTGCAAGGGTATTGACATTTGCTATGCACAAGAGCCACAGGACAGAGGCAAATGGCGACTTCATTCAGGAATATGCCAGAAACTGAAAGGCATGTTAATTCCTGGAGATGGTGTACCATGCCAGGGAATGTGATTTTCTGACATGAGATAAAATTCAAAGAACAACATCTTTTTTGTACTAGTAATCTTTTTGTCGTATTTCCTTCTGATGCTATACTGTGTATGAATCGGAATAATCTTGCGTTCTGAAAAACTTTCAATTGTTTCGTCATGATTGTTGGGTGTGAAAAATCAGTACTATTTGACACTATCATGGATTTAATTAATACAGTAGTTTACTAGACCTTCATGGAAAAGCATCTGAGTTATGTCCCTGATTTCTACAAATAAATGAATGATAGAATTGATACACTAAAATGATACACAAAATGTTTATCATGCTGATAAACCAACATTTCTGATTTACTCTTAGCTTAGATCTCTCTGTTGCCTAACCCTGTAACCAATACAGATCTACATGTACATGTAGTTTTGTATGGAGAAGGCTTAATGCCTGACATATCACAGTTTGTATGTTAAACCATTTGTACTTTGCCTCCCTGTAGCCATCACCTGGCCTCAAACAATAACAAGTCCAAAGTTCGGCAACTTCCTGTCCCATTCTCAGGCCAAGGCTGGATAACAAAACAAACATGTCTGGAGTTCTGTACCACAGAGTTTAACCTTCTCCCTTCTGCCCACCCCTGTAATCAATAGAGATTCAATAGCCAAACTACTACTTCAGTGCTTGCAACACTGTAAACATTGCAAAAGCCCAGACATGTTTGTTTTGTTTTTTTTGTTTAGCCTTGTCCTGAGACTGGGAGGTCCTTCAAGCCATCTTGCAAGATATGATAATGGTATTCATTTATTGTACGAGAACTACATGACCTATACCTCTTCCCTCATGACCTCAATGAAAAGTGGCCTGAAGGACAATTTGAGCTTCTCATGAATAAAGAATGGTTCTTGACACTTGAGGTTCTTACCTCTGCAGAGTAATAATTTGTTATATCTCTTACCTCTGCAGAGCATTTGTATGTTAACTTGTCTTACTCTCTTTTTAATGTATATTCATATCACTATCAGATATTATGAGTACAGTATTTTAAAGATGAATGATCAAATGATCATGTTGTCAATTAAATGTTGTTAGACAGCTGTATTTTTGTAAACTACAACACAATTCAGCATGCACTCCTGCAATGTTGTTTCATTAAACAAAGTTCTCACCAGTCTTGGAGTGGTGAGTGATGGTGGGTGGCTGGTTCCTGGAGTGGACAGTGATGTGCATGTCCTGGCTGGTCTGGGCGTTGACGTGGCCCTTGCCCTTCTGTTCCACCGAGGTGGCATGGACACCGAAGCAGTACTGGCCATGGGAGTTCTCAGGTACACTGCAAGGATATGTAGCAGACAGTCCAACTTAGTAACGTCAAACCATTGCATTTAACAGACGGGACTGGCTGTAATTTGAACAACTGATCCCCCATTCCAAAGTTTTGAATAAACTGAGCAGAGAACAAGTCACTCATCAGTGTGGATGTGTGTTTGTGTATCTTCCTCCTCTTGCCTTACAGATACAGCAGGGTGTAATATAAAAACATCTATTCCAAGGTCCTACATACAATTGATTGTACCTGACTGTGTACTCATAATCTAACAAGAAGTGAGGGGGAAATGGTTACTAACTGCAGACTGACAGGAAGCTAAAATTGGAGGTCAAAATGGTCTCCCAGTGCAGGTTGGGAGGAAGTGAAGATGAATATGCACAGAATCAGCAAATCCAATATTCATCTTTCATGTAAGAGGTGATCTTCACTTGCAGAGATTTTGTTGGATCAGGTGTTTTCTGCAGGTTTAAATTGGTTGTCAAACTGTCTTAATTTTGTGGTTGAACTTTGTGGCTTAGCAGCTGAGCTGTCAGTTGTTGCATGACAGGATGCTGTCATGTAGCACTGAGGGGGGGGGGGTATTATAGGATAGGCCAAGACAATGGTTCTCACCGAACGGAGAGCTGGTTGGCCTGGTCCTGAGTCAGCTTGTTCAGGTTCCTGCGGTGCACACGCTGGCCTCCAGCCAGGAAGTGCCACCCAGACGGCACACTCAGCTGGCACCGACACTTGTCTGGTGGGAAGGACAGAAATAGCCTTTAAGATTTATCATAGACTAAGGAAGAAAACAAGTAAATCTGGTAAATCTTCTGCAAATTCTACAAGAATCTAATAACTTCAATGCCACCCAGATGGTACACTCAGCTGGCACCGACACTTGTCTGGTGGGAAGGACAAAAATAGCCTTTAAGATTCATCATAGACTATGGAAGAAAATAAGTATAGCAATCAGGTAAATCTTCTGCAAATTCTAGAAGACTTCAATTCCACCCAGATGGTACACTCAGCTGGCAGTGACAGTCTGGAATGGTGGGAAGGACAGAAATATCCACTGATATCAGTCATAGACTATGGAAGAAAAGTACATGACTGTATTGCAAGCTAAGGGCATATGGAAAATGAATTTTTGATGATCTGTGGATGATTTAACTTAAGATCAAAATGAGAGTATTTTATTCTCCACAGAATCTCAGCAAAGTTAATTGACTTCTTGTATATGTGATATCATTGTAACCTCAAACTAAATTTGTTTGATTCCACCAAATTTTAACTGAAGTAGGCATGACCTTGTATGTCATACCACATTATATAGTAATCTATTAGTTACATGTGCATTGTAATGTAACCATAGACACAAGAATAATTACTGTATGTACCAGACTTGCAGGAGACCTCCTGGCCACAGTTGCAGAGAGTCACAGTCAGAGTCTCAGAACCGTCCTGATCCTCCAGCTGGGCCTGGATGTGAAGGGGGATGACCTCACCTTCGTTGCCCTACAGAAGAGAAATAACATTTACTTGACATTGTATATTATCAAGTGTAAGGAACAACTACGTAATGGCAGCATTGTATGATACGTGCTATACGTATTACAGGACATTGTTTCATGTATAGTATACGTAGTAGTATGTATATGTAGTAGAATGAGACATTTGAATTACATTTAATTTGTATGTACATATATGTACTTCCTATATTTCTACAATGGCAGAGAATTCCTATTATCGGTAAATATGCTACATTAAAGCCTAGTAAGGACAGATCTATATGAAAATATGCAAACTGGATACATGCAAGTTAAAGCATGTATTTGATGACAAAACCTATTGACAAGGTGGGCAGGTACAAAGTATAAAGTTCATATTGAGGTAATATTGAACCGCATTTGTCACATTCGAGTATTGATTATACAATATTTGTCTTACCTGACCAAACAAAACCAAATGGACAACATCTCTACCTTTTGGTAATGTAACAAGTCTGCATATATAACTATGGTCCAAACACAGTTACAATACAAGTTTTTCTCTAATTCACAAATAAATTCAATACCCTCTACTAGATACATTTTTGTGGAAGAATATTACAGGCTTTATGCAAACACAGCAAAAAAAGTTCACACATGTTCACAATGTAGTTTTAAGAATGACTCAAAATAATATTTAAGCATGCAGACTGTTATTTTTCTAGCTTACTGTTCCATGACATAGAAGGTTTAAAGTTTTAACTTAAAAACTTTAAAAAGCTAGCTGAAATTTGGTCCAGGCACAATGGTGACTTCAAGCAGTAACATACAATACTGTTGATCACAACACATGAAGGAAGGTAACCCACCTGTACATGCTGCACCTGCAGCCTGGGCTCGTCGGGCTGTGGGCGGAGACTGATGAAGACACTGGCAGGCTCACTGCGCTCCACCTCATCCTCAACTGTGTACACAAAGTTGTCCACACCGCTGAAGTGTTCTCGGTCAGGGCTGGCCCAGGAATACAAACAACATAAAATGTTACTTCCAGATTTTTTCACGGTACTGTTATGTTCACTATTTTCACTGTCACTTCCGTGACCTGATCATCATAACAGTTAACAAATAATTCCCGGACTTTCCTTTTCCTGCACCAGTCGCCACAGTGAATATATAGTTTGAAAATTCGTGAACATATCCAGTTTTCTCAGACTGTGAAATTTTGCTAGCGTGAACATAAAGTGAATTACATTATATGAAAATGCTTTTAATGGGCTAATTAGTCTTTGCAGTTCTAGCTGCCCAGTGCCCCTCATGGCTAGTCCAGCAGACCACCTGTAGGACTAAATAAATCATGCCTATCTTAAGTGGTACGCAACATACAAAATTTATGAATGAAAACTCTCCACTCAGTCTGCACCTCAGAGCCAGAGTAAACAAACATAAATATTGATACTGTACCCTTATGTTTTTATAACCACATTGTCTCCGCACTTGGACTTTGTACTGTTTATTTGTTCGGAATTATATAATGATCGTGAACCTGACCTGAAACAATGGTTTGGGCATGCGCACTGATTTTGTCTCAAGTTCTCCACAAATAAACAAGGTAAAGGTAATGTTTTTATGACCTTTGTTGTACTTGACTCAGCACTCAGAGTTTTATCACCTTACCACCAGTATAATGTACTTGAGAAGGTCAGTCAACTTTGTAACTAGTCAGTACATTGCTGCTCACTTGAAATACACTTCAGACAATGCTTCAAATGTCTCAAGCAGTCACCCAAGATGCCATCCAACAATATGGTAAGCCAAATGAACAAGTATAATTTATACAGTGATTTGAATAGCTATAAAAAAACTAAATTGGTCTTGATGGTTTAAGGATCATCATCTTCAGTAGCCAATGGGAAGCTTTAGATTCTGAATGTTCACTTTTGCCCATTTGGTGACAATGCACAAAATTCATGCCAGAGACTGTTGTGTCCGGGGACAAATTTTGGATTTTCAACCCTTTGTCATATTATTGATTTCATGCTACATGCAAGGATTGAAATGTTTAAATTGTCAATTTTAGAGTCCTAAAACAGTAATATGAATCAAATCTGCATCAGTGTGTATCATTCACAAGTGGACTCTGAGCTGTGAACTTTTTGTGACCACCACCCAAACAACTAATGCCCTGGAGAAGTCGACTGATAACATGAAGTGCCATACATGTTGTCTGGCAACTTTGATCTACCCAGTACACGTGTATGCATGACACGGTGTCTGGTGTACAGATATGTGTCACCTTTGTCCCATGATAAGCAAAATCAGTTAAATTGCTATGCTGTGTTTTAGAGAAGTTTGTTGCATACTAAATATGTATCTTTAAAAGATCGATGAAACTTGTACATTACCAACTCTTTCCTTTACTTATATTCAGCTTTTTTTCTCTGAAAAATCAATCTTGATATTAATTGGAATGGCATTAAGAGATTCTTCCCCGACACAATTGGCCACAACCTAAAAATACATGTTTCGAAATTTAAGAGTGTCACACGAGGTCTGCTGCGTATCAGCTGTGGTCGATTTCTGCAAGGAGGCGAAAGAGAGACCTCCTTGGTTTCGGTCGGTTATGGTGTCTAGGCACACCAATTCCTCCAATCACTGGCAGTGCAAATGTAGGGGGTCGTTAAGTAATTTAAGCCTCTCCGCCTGTCTGCACATGACTGACAGTCATTGTTACGAAAAGTGCTGACAGGTGTTGAACTTGTGGTCTGAGTTTGGGCAACGAGGTTAAAAAGAGAGACCTCCTGTGGTTTTGGCCAGTTATGGTATCTAATTAAGGAACACCAGTTCCTCCAGTTACTGGCAGTGTGTGGAAACCCATTCACTGGAAACCAGAGGGCAGGAGGAAGAGAGGGAGACCAAAGCTAACATGGTGACGCACTTTTCAAAAAGACCTGGAAAATAGAGGGGTGCTGTTGGCGGTTGGTGGATGCTAAAAACCTGTCTAAAGATCGAACAAAGTTGTGGAAACTTGCAATTGCTGGCCAGTGTGCTTTGCACGGGAGGAACTAAGTCTTAGTCTAAGTTATTGGCATAGCACAGACATGTGACTGACAATCGATTGTTACAGAAAGTGCTGACATGTAGTGGAGTCGCCACAGGTGACAGCACGTGCCGACCTGGGTGACCTACAAGTGTTGACGCATGACACTGTAGATGTAATTTAGCTATGCTGGGAAACAGGTTACGTAACAGGTACTAAGCTATTCTTTCCTGCGGGTGCAAAACAGGTTCATTCATCATTCACCTGGTCTGGACTTTGGCCAAGCTGGTGGGGTGCCATTGTATGCAAATCACTCAGAAACCCCACCTGACTGTTCTGAACCCACTACAGCAAATGAATGCAATCACAAACCTTCAAGTTACAAAATACAAAGAATACAAAGCTGGTATTGTGAATTTGCGGCAGTACTCAGCGACGTATGTATGGCACATGCTGGCCGTTTGCAGAATTTATGAATTGGCACTGCACGTATGTACAAGTTCATGACTCATGTAGCTTCAGTAGACTGGGTGCCATCCTCCAGAGTTACCACCGGCTCGCTAACTACCATGGACTACCCAGGCCTTAGAGCCAGTCCAGAGCCTCTGAGGACTTGATTTTTTTAGAACAGGTGAAAATCAATGCGCGCGCAGATGTCATCCATAAAATTAAGTCGGTGTGGCGTAAACTGAGTTCTCTCTCTCACCTGTACTGGAAGCTGCCTGTCTCCTGGTCCAGGATGATGTTGCGCGGGTTCTGGAAGCGGAAGCGGAGGTTCTGGCTGAGCTCCTCCCCCGCCCGTGGACAGGCGTGGAGCTGGCCGTAGATCACATGATCCTCGTGGCTTTTTATCTTAATGTCGACGGCCGTCAAGTGTTCAGCATCTGAAGGGAAGGAAAAAGGATGAGATACCTGTCATCTGGGGCACTTAAAGAAAGAATGAGGATTTCTTCTAGAATAAATAGATAATCTCTGACCCTGGTTGCTGCCCTAATATGTATACTGGGGCCCCCATACTTGCTCTAAAATCCTAGTGTATTTGATTATGGAGAACAGGACTGACTGGCATGAGCTAAAAATGACATCTCTTTTCAATCATATTTGTCCGTCAATAATTGGAGCTTCTAAAATATTTGTGACAACTCTTCTGAACTCCAATTTCTTTGCTGTATTACTCTTGAGCAGAAAATTCTATAAATAGCAGGGATTTCCTTCACAGTCCATTTTATGGAATCTGACATACTGCATTTATAATAATAAAAAGGTGGGATAAATATGACGAGTATACTTGTTGTTTTTTTTTTGTCTCAATTTTTATCTACGACCACCTGTTAGACAAGTAAAAAAAAATTCTGAGTCAATTTCCAGCCATCATTGTCAATTGTCACTGCCAGGCAGTATCTCAACAGGTCCCTTTGACCACAGGCAATTTTCAGTTTTAGTATTTTGTGGTCCATTTTTCAAACAATTCTGTGAAAAGGATGGCTATCTTGAAAACAGATTCACACATAATTGTTTCCCACTCCCTGATTATTCATTCTCCAGTTTTTGAAATTTGATAAACAGAAAACACCGTTTAATCCGGGCGGATTGAAGTGCCATATGCCACTCCGAAGGCCCACATAGCCTATTGTATTACTCTTTCAGGGGGCAACCCCCACTAAAACCCCAGTGTGACAAGCCTTTCTCTCCCTATAGTTATGGTAATCCACCTCCCCACAAAAACATTAGGCCTGTTGTGATCCCAATCTTGGCATCAACAAGTATATTTCTGGGAGGTTGGTATTTAGACACACACTCTAGACTGCCAAATTTGATCCCTTAAATTTAAAAAATGTACCAGTCCTTCTATCCAACAAGGTCAGAGCTACAACTTGACTATTTGCCATTGAATGTAACAGAAGAATGATGTTAAATTGCCTGGCAAATTTTAAATGCTACTGCGGGTAACGGTGGTGCCATATGCCACTACGGGAAATACTGGAAAGTCAATTTGCCCAGGGAAAGGAAAACAAATTCATCTAAGTGCATCAACCAGTTGGCTTGTGGTTATTAAAAATTAAATATTAAAAAAGATACCATTTGCGACTTTCCTAGGCAACTATTGATACACTTACCAAAGTGTGTTTCAAATGCATTTAATATTTTGGACTGAATAAATACTTGGCTCCAAAATAGGGACAAATAATGTTACACATCCAAATCATAATTCTAATTTCTATGAGATGAAAATTTTTTAGCTGAAAAATCTGTAAAGATTTCAAAAAGTTGACATTTGGTTGAAATACTACAACTGTGTGCCGATCTGACTGGTAAGAAAAATCAAACTTCCTTCGTAAAAAAAAGTCAATTTTGTTACAAAACTGTTTCCCAGAAAGGCAATGAGTAGAGTGAATTGGGAAGAAATCAAACTTACTTTCATCACACTCCCAGGCAGAGGCACAGGCCACCCAGCACAGGAGAGCCAAAAACGCGGGGACCCTCATCTTGTCAGCTGTCCCAACTCAAACTGATCTCTCCCCACAGAACACCAGTATTTATAAGGTCCCCCGGAACAATGGGATTATGGACCAATGCAAGTGTTTATGCTAATTAGAATAATGCTGACACAGGGTGGCCCTGCATGACACCATTTGCCCACAGCAAATACCAAAAGTTGTAAATTAACCCCACAGTGTCAACTTATGTGATAGGCTGGTAAGTTGTGTACACTGCACATAAATTTTGTTGGTATTGTGGGGTACCGCACAGCCATTGGGTGAAGGGGCATTTAATCACTGCACACGACAAGGACAGAAGGGCAAAGCCTTTAAATTGAAGTCCTGCCAGAAAGCGTTTTGTAAGTCTGGTCAGGTCTGATCTGTTTTGGGTACATGAGAAAACGCTGAGACTGCCTTCTGGAACCAACCACTTGTTGTCTTCATCAGCGATTTTTTTTCAACAACAGGGTCACCCCACGTAATATGATACGCTTGTACAATGACATCATCGGCTTGTTTTCGAGTTTTGGGGTTGATGAACTGAGGACTTTGGCTTCTTGAGTTCAAGTTGAAGTTTGATAGTGATTTTACAGGTTCAGTATTTGATAAGACTGAAGTTCAGGAGCACGACAACAGTAATCTATGGATGTAGTTTTATGACAATTAGTAGTAGTAGTAGTAGTAAGCCTTAAGTAATATTGGTTGTACTTTTCTTTAAAAGTCTAACTGCTTCCAGCCTGTTCTCAACTCTTAAGAAAAAACACCATTTGTTATTAGTTCCTGTTCCCTACATGCATATCTGGCATAAAAAAATGCAATCTGGCAGAGCCATGTTGTTACATGTACAAAACAGAGATAGTGTCAGATTATGAAGATCTGACACATACAAACTTTTTTTTTACAAAATGTAAGACTTAGTTTAGTTTTCTGTATTCTTTTTACCTTCTTGCCTTCTTCAAAAGTTGGATTTGAAACATTCTGTGGTAATATTTTTGTTAATATAAAAATGGATACTACACAAGATGACAAATCCTTAAAAAAAACATGTAGAACTGTCCATTGTTACAAGTACAATTACTAATATAAAAGCAATCTCTTTGTTCAGTCAAACATTCCACTTTTCTAATATTTTCATTTCATCTATCTCATACATTTTTTATCCAGTCAAATACCAAGAGAATGTCAATGTCCAAAATCTATAGAAATGTGGTTCTGACATTTGCCACAGAAGTGGAAAGATAATGACCCTAATGGCTACACTATTGTCCCAGGTAAGTATCGTTCTTTGTCACCTGCAGGTGTGGCAGCTGGCTAGCACCTGTACATGGCTTTGTTCTTCTTTTCCTTTGTTCCGTTAAAAAATTGCAGCAGTTAGTGACCAGTGACCTTGCATCCTGATAATACATGATTATGGGAATCAAGCATTATGAGGCTTTACCACTATTCCTATGTGTTAACAGTGTAATATGATAGGCCTTTAGTGTATAAATCATAAAATACCGACATCAATTTCAGCCCAAACTCTAGCATACCTGATACTTATAGTCACTTTTAAGAACCACACTCGAGATTTTGTTTACTTTAATATCTAAACTCAACTCAAGATCTATCACATTACTTACATGCAATATCTCATATGATACACTGTATGTGTCTACCATGTTCAGTGGTCTTAAGTTCACAATTTTCTCACTTGAGATTCATACATTTACAGTACTATATGACACAAACATTTTACTTGTGGTCTTGGTCTTATTCAAGTCTTACAGTGCATGAGGGGAAAGGATCATCAAGGAAGAGCCATTTTTATCTGGGTTATATCAAGGACATTATACATGTATCTGTCTATCCAAATGGGATAGGAGGAAACAGTGGTTTTAAGGCGCCTGACTAGGCATTCTGCTTGGCTGGCTTTCAAGCTGGCAAAGGGACAAGAAGTAAACCACATATTTGGAGAGTAGAATCAACAAGCGTCATGCCACAACCACATACCGCATGGCTCCCAAACTGCTGATGCCAGCGAAACAGCACTTCCGAGAAGGAAGGCTGCCTGTTGTTGTTGCCAAGGAGTGCCATGTGTTTGGTTAAGGCCTTACTTCTTCTTACTGCGACACAGGAAATGGGAAAGGAATTAGGGTAAAGGTAATTCTAACAAAAACATGAAAAATACTGCTTGGGTGGAACTGTAGTTTAAAGTAATTTATATCCATATCAAACTTTTGCAGTTTCAAGCAAAAATCTCACAAAAGTGGCTGAAGAAATATTAACCTCAACCTCAGACTTGCTATAGTATGGATGCTCCATGTTTAACACTATAATAGTCTGAATGTCTAAACGTGGCAAGGGCTGACTGTTGACGGCTGTGATAGTCAATAGATCTTCCTGAGGAAGAACATTAAACTTTCTATACGGATTTTACTTTTGAGTTTCACCAAAATCACAGAAGGAACCTCAACTGATATTTACTGGTATGTGCATTATTGGCCGCCTGATCCTGTCCTGGATGTGGGCCAGGGTCAGAACATAAACAAAATTCCACAACATTGAAAAGCAAGATGTCACGATGAGCACATCAGACTGTATTTAGTTTAGAGGAAGTTAGTGTCAGTGTCAGCTTGCACAAACTGAGCTACTTTGGGTAGTCAGTACCGGCCTGTTTCTAAGGCAATACCAATTCAGTATGGTGTTTAGCAGACTCTTTTAGAATCAGTTTGATTGGAATAAAGCTGGTCGTGAAAAAGCTGGAAGAAGTACAAAAACAATTATTCCATATTGTCCTTGAACAAATCTATAGTCTCTACAGGTACTTCATCTACACACAAAATGTTGTCATGTATTGCTGTGCATGTATCTCATACATGTATACATGCAAACTTATGGGCCATAGGTTCATATCTAGATTCTGTAGTTGTAGTCACCTGCATTGATTTGTGATTTGAACACTAAACGACCTCCAGCTGATAAAGATGATTTATAGCTCGGCTGACTTTATAGCAGACCTTGTTTACAATCCCTGATAACATACAATAGCAGAGGTGTGATTAAAAACTTTATCACAATTGGGCTGAGGCATTGGGGCATGCATGTACATGTATCTTTAATTGTAGAAGACAAAAAAGCTTAATTACCAAGTAATTATATTTAGAGTGACATAAATTAGACATTTCTGCCCTGATGTCATGATAGCATAACCAGTAATAATCAGGATTTAATCAAAATTTTAACTCTCTTGCTCTGGATCTTGATCTTGATACTGTACTGCGTAACACCCCTCGGTTGGGGTCAAACACGCAGGGGGGGATGAGCCTATACAGGGCTCCACATACCAGGACTACCATAGTGCATAGTTATTTGACAAATGTAAAGAGCTGTCAATATATACCTGTAACGTTAGATTCCCAAATGCCCTCAGCTGGTAAACACTAAATCAGTAAATGACCTACTGGACGTACACCTGTACTGGCTGTACATTGGGCATGGCCTGTATGGCTGCAGTTCAACTTTCACAAGCTAGGTGCCATCCATGTCAACATTTGCTGAGAAGAGAGACATGCATAATTTATGGTGGGCCAAAGTCATGTACATATAAACCTTTTAATTTTGATTGCGTGGAAAATGTCTCACTGGTCGCACCATAAATTTATGACAAGTTAGAAGAGCCCACCTGGTCCTTTCTATGAGCTGATGCATTAACGTTATTCTTTTAACAGTCCTATAAATTCTCTCAGGTTTCTTCTTTTTCTAAAACATGTTGCAATGTTGATAGTTATTCAGTATACCCCTGGCCCTGAACAACACTATTTACTGATGTTTAGAACACTAACTTATGTTAGAATTCAGAAGAATGAGTTGTTGTTGTTGTCCTTGTTTAGACCCTGTTCATACCAGACTTATATTTAGCGGTTTCAACCGGTTTTTCAAAAACCCGGCTAAAACCCTTAGCGTTCATACCAGACTTTTGATAACCGGTTTTGTAAAAATCCTGTCCGGTGAATATCCAATTACTAGTAATCGGCCATGACTGCAGTTTGAATAACCGTTCCTCCCGCTCTTCTGATTGTTGTCCTTGGCCTTCTTGCTTGTATGCCGTCTTCAGTTTGTTTTTTTTTTACCTTAGTGCAGCACTGATCCTTTATCTTCAAGAAATCAGCCTCCTCCAACATTTTTGTTTCGGTAGAGCCCTCCCCCCCCCCCTAGCTTTTTCGAATTTGGCGACTCCTGCTCTCCAAACCTTAGTCAGTATCAGGAGCGTCCCGTTCGCCGACCAGGTTGCGTTTGCTGATTCCATCGCAAAATGAAGAAAAACCGTGGAAAAACAGTGGAAACGAACTCAAAGTTGGTCAAAACAACGCGATCAAAAAAGCTTGCAGGTCGCACACGGCCAGGATGCTGACCCGTGACCCCGGAATTATGACGCAAAAACCGGTTCAATAAACCCTTAGCGTTCAGACCAGGTTTTTCGGTGGAAAAACCCTTCAAAAACCCCTCAAAAACCACCTCCCGAGGTGGTTTTTCAAAATCGGATTTAAACCCCTAAAAAACCGGTTAATTTGCGTTCACACCAGGTTAAATAAAAACCGGTTTTTAGAAAACCGGTTGAAACCGCTAAATATAAGTCTGGTATGAACAGGGTCATGGTGTGTTATGGTCAACAAATTTTCTTGGATGTAGAAATGACCTTTTTTGGGCACAGCAGCTGAATAGACATGATACTTTGGTTCAAAAAATCATACATTAGAATAATAACATTTCATGAGCAGGGCTGAATCAATTCATTAACGGAAAAACCCACTACAAAACACTTACCAAAGCTTTGCCTTTTCCTCCGAAGTTTCTTATCCTTTCCCGCCACAGCATCTAAACGCAGGTAATAATCCCTTTTTAAATCAAACATATCGATCCAGTGCTTTCTTTTAAATAAAATTATTCAGATAAATATAATGAATTTACTTTAAAAAGACACATTTATAGCTGATTATTTTCACTGTCATATTTAATAACACAACTTACTTCGATAACATACGTGTGGCTGCTGTCCTACGCACTTTGACCTCTAGCAGCTAGCAGACGCCCTACCCAGTCTACCCAGTCCATCTGAAGAAAACACGTGCCTGTATCGTGATCGGCGACTTCTGCGTCTGATTTTTCCACCTTCGTCGGATACAGACATCTTTTACGTTACGTAACGATTATTTGGTATTGCATAGGTGATTTGGAATAGCCGTGGTCGATTGTCAAACCTTAGATACGGCGTGCCCCCCTCCCACCCCGGATGACCTGCTGTTAGTTTTTTTAAACTTTTTAGTCACATGTGATTCTTGTAAAGCAAAACATGGCGGAGTGACTGCGCTGACGTGCTGCCTCCAGGCCTTGCAGCTCTACCTGGAGCTTACCTGCTACCTCATCAGTTATAGCTCATCTTTAGGTCCTCTGCACATGCATGGACTGTAGAAGAGGCACAGCAAACGTGCTGATACCTTCTCAAACGCAGCTGATTTGAGAAAATCCAAAAGTCAACAGACGACCGCCTGTCCACACTGATCACGTAGCTAACATGACCCTAAAGCTGTCGAAGATTGTTTCCAACTTCCCACAAGAAAGCCTGGCGTTGGCTTTCGCCTATGGATCTGGCGTTTTTCACCAGAGGGGACATAAAGCTATGTCGGTAAGTCACTAATCATGATATCAAATTTTCGATTCTATTTCAGTTGGATTGAATTATTTTGTAAATTATAGGTGACCAAGGCGGTGTCATTTTGACCTCATGCTTGGCATGAAGATCAAACTAAATTTCATATGTTAAAAGATATTTGATGGAGCATCACATACTAACATACGTCCCATACACGATATAGTAGCATGCATTGCTGTAGTTTTTGACAATCACATTTAGAATATATTGAAAAATATGAGATGAACATTCATCCACCATTCATAACAAACCTCTCCTTTTCCCATAGCAAAATATGGTGGACTTCATCTTTGCTGTGGACAACGCTAAAGCCTGGCACAAGGAGAATATGAGGAGAAACAGGAAACACTACTCCTTCCTCAGCAGCCTGGGGCCTGAGAGGATTGCTAGGGTACAGGAGAACTGGGGAGCCAGGGTTTATTTCAACACACTAGTGCCCTGTGAGGACAGAGTAAGTACAGTACGTTGTGGTGCCAAGGAGAGAGAGAGAGAGAGAGAGAGCAAGAGCGAGAGAGTGAACAGTTACTACAAAGGAATGTACCTATTAGTAAACAATCAGTGACTGAAAGTTCTTGACAGTCCTCTATTACCTAAGGCTAAGTAAAAAGTCTGAGGAAATCGTACTTATGCTTCTTTTTGCTAGGTGCTTTTGATACCGTAATGTTTGTGCTGTTTGTTGGAACCACATTTACACTGTATGTTTGCACTATTTTGTGTAGCTTATCAAGTATGGAGTCATCAGCACAAGTGACCTGATTGATGACCTTCATCAGTGGGAAACTCTGTATGTCAGTGGGCGTCTACACAAACCTGTAAGTACTGACATTGACAATACAGCAATGTGCTTAAGTCACACATCTTACATCAACTGTAACAGCAAGGCATGCAGGTGTTACTCTTGAGCATGGCATGAAATTGACTATCATCAAGCTGTCAACTTCTGTTATATGGCTAGTAACATCTAATGTAAAGCTATAGTAGATTGCATGTAAGGTGATATGCTACAATGATTACAACAAGGAAAAGGACATGAGCTTGTTTGTTCTCATTTCCAACAGCACTTAAGTTTGTTCTGTATTTTTTTCTCTTTAGGTACTGATCTTGAAAAGAAGAGACAACCCAGTGTTACTAGAAGCTCTCCAACAGAACACATTAAGTGCCATGGCAGCAGCACTGCTCATGTTACCTGAGGCATTCACAGAGGAGCAACTGTACATTGCAATTACCAGCCTTTCATACACAGGTGGGTTCATAAAAGTCATTGTAACCATAGAAATATAGTTGTTGTATTGTGTTGTGTAATCCTTGTGTATTGAATGCTGTATTTAGAATTATAGACATCAACATCATTCATAGATATAGATTACTAGTGCTTGATAACACAGCGTGTTCTGATGAGTTTTCAGTTTCTCTTTCATTTCTTTCCTTCCTTTGCTATGCTCCCAGTTTGGCAGTTTTGCTTACACAGATGATTTTACTATTTTATGTATATCTGAAAGATAATACATATTCTGTACGTATCAACAAGCTATTGTATTACTACAATGACAGGAGATTTCCGCATGACAGTTGGAGAGGATAAGCAGAAGGTACAGAACATAGTGAAGCCCAACGTTGCCAGGTTTCAGGAGCTGTATCATCCCATCTTGGACAGTGTCAACCACATCCACTGGCACAAGAAACAGGCTTTTATTGAGGTACACATGGGTGTATTGTAAACCTTCAGCCTGCTAAGGTAGCTGTTTGGCACCTAATCTTTATTGGTTATGGGATTCAGCAGCAGGAAGAAAGATAAATGGTTTAGGGCAGATCAGGGGTGGAGTTGTGAAGATAAGAAACATGGTACATGTACAAGAACAATTGCACAGAAAAATTGTAAAAAAAATGTCCTGTATTTCCAGCCTCAAATTAAGGATACACTGTTATAGTTTTTCAAGATGAAACAAAGGGCAGTCTGCTATCCTGGGATGTGCCATTATTTTTTCAATTGTTATGAAGATGCAGTTGCTATTCCAACTTTCTACCATGTGAAATACAATTGATTGCAGTATCATATACTGTAACACATGTAACTACGTGTACTTCAACCTTCTTTGTTACAGCAAGACACAAGTCCCCACGCAGTCTACTCCCACCTGAACATGCTGCCAAAGACACTGCAGAATCACATCTGGCTGGAGAAGAACCGAGACAAGAGGCACCAGGATATGGAGGAAGTGATGAAGAGTCTGGCTCACAGCGCGGACTACAGAGAGGTTGTAGAAAGAGGTGAGAGAAAACAGATACTTGTCATAAAAATACATGTTATCTAAAGCTTTGCCTCTGTGTAGTACTGTAGAGAGGGTATTGTTTCCAGTGTCTATGTGTGTGTGTGTTTGGTTGTTTTTCGGTAGTTATTGGAACATGCCAGGCTCATCAGTGACAATGACAGAAGTTACGTCCAAGGTCTCAGCAAAGGTTATCCCATTTGTTGTCTCCAATTTCCTGCTACATGTATATCCATGTCTGTTGCCTTACGAGACTAGAGGGAAAATGCATAGACAGGATATCAGTAGTAATGTAACCAAATACAGTATTCCCTAAAACTTATTGAGGTATGACATCTTTAATATCTTCTTCTTCCTCTAATTCTGAGATGTTTAGATTTGGTACGGGTGATACTGATCTTAGGAGGGCCCAGGACACCACAATTTTTGTTCATCAATTTACTAATTTCTTGTTCACTGTCAAAGGTAATGATAATTTTTGTTTTCTTTTCAGGAGTGCAGGGTATTGTGAAAAAATCCAGCATAACTCAAAGTCTGAAGAGTATTCTAACAGCAGGTGAGTCCAGCTACCTTTTTTTCAGTGATAGATATAGTACAATGTACATTGTATGAATTTGGTAGTTTGATATTAACCCAAGTTTTGTTCATGTTACTATCATCACCACATACTTGAAATGCCCATTCCAAGGTTGTGAAGTTAGCAGTTATTCACTCCCCACTGTATTTGTTGCTCATTCACTAAAGTCACTATCAGTAGAAGTCTGGGAGAGAAAAACTGGTCAATTTGACCTTGAAGTCCCCCTCCCAGTTGAATACTAGTATGTACATTTGTACATAACCCTGTAATATTTCGACTGACTTTTACAACTACTATGAGACTGATTTTTACAAGTGTCTTCATCCTTCTCTGCACAGGCATGATGAAGAGTGTGAGGTACAGTGCAGCAAAACTGAGAAAGATGATGTCCAGCAAGAGGCAGCCTGTGTCAGTGTAGGTAGCAGAGACTGGGATATGGAGTGATCTGTTAAGTCTGACACTCAGATCATGTGTTTGATACATGTTTTAGATTGTGGATGCACGCAATGTGCTGAAATATTCACAGCTATGTTCTAGTTATTCATTTAAAGTTAAAGTTTATTCAGTCCATACGGGTATTACCTGAATGGTTGGTGTGTGTATGTGAATAGCCAATTTCATTTACATTTCATCCATCCACAAAGCTAATTTGTCTGAAGGGCTTTACTCTTGCAGTATGGTCTAATGTAGATTTTCTGCAATGGTCTTCTTAGTTCCAGACACCGTACATGGTTTATGTAAGCAAAGTTAGGAAGAACATGACATCTTGCCTCTACCTCTATGTTGTTGGTACTTGTAGTGACATTGTCAAGCAAATAAAGATTGACTGTTCATGCTGGCAACTTCTGCTTGCAAACACAATTTATGTACCATTTGTCTTGCCCTACATTCTCGTCACCTTGTTCTAGCCTGGGTACCATCCCAGTTAGTTTATGTCCGTTACCCCTATTCTAGCTCCAAGGCTCCTCCAATTGCGTCTCAGCAAGGCAAGTGATCAGTGGAGCAAACCACAGCTGTGATACCTGGCTAAATTTAGCCTCTACCAGGCTTCGGGACACGGCTGGAATGAGTAGAAGCTGGCCAAGTAGAGATAACATGCCAGGGGAGCTCAAGTACATTTTGCCACATACATGGGTCACAATATGTACCCTCTGCCTCTGGCCGACCAACTCCCCTGGTGTACTATTCCCTTTATTTTGGCCAATTCTGCTATTTTTCCAGCGATCCCTGGCGCCTGGTAGAGGCTAAACTAACTTTACTAGCCAAGATTACTGTTCTTTTCCACCTCTGGCTATAACTTATAAACGTACTCAAGTCATTACATTTATTAGTAATAAAAATAATTACCATATAACAGAAAAGGGGTTTGATAACCAGCTTACAATTCTACAGTTCATCAACCAAGTTATCTATCCATCCAAACTAACCCATTCATTCCCTGCCATATGTATTTCAATCTATTCAAGAAGTGACCAGGCACATAGCATATCGATTCAACTTTTTTTATTCTGAAAATCTGTACAAAGTTTTCAAATATCGATAGAGAATGACTTTTGCCTCGTGTTTGACGTCAAAACAGTTCACATACATACATGTGTACATACATACAACAGCAATACACAAGTAAAATAACCTGGAAATGAAAGATTTAGATAACCGCTTCTTAAAAGTAGAAGTGGGCGTCTGAGGTATAATACACGTTCCGTGTTGAGTTGGGTCAGGTTGATGCTTGGAGTCTTGTTTGGTCTTCCAGTCTGTTCAGAATTCCACGTACTGAAAAAGATCTAGTGAACATGTCTCCCAAAACAACGTTAAGTAACTCACGACAGCATGGTCTAAAAAAATATCCATTTTCTTTTCTCCACGAGGGGTTACCGAGTAAAATGTCACACCAAGTAAAATGTGGCAGTATTAAGAAATCTAGAAAAGGTCTGGGCTAAAACATGGACAAAAATAAATTTGGTATCAAGAAAACAATAGTAATCCAGTAATACATGTACTACATTTCAAGCACTCACACCAAAGGGCATTACTTCCCATTGATCCCCATTTACCGAAGTCGGCTAGCTGCGGGTTGTTCTCCTTTCTGATGACGAGCGAGGCACTGCGAGGCTGTGACTAAGTCTGGTCTGAGGAGGACCATGGAACTCAGCAGATGGACTGCCGAGGCGAGTTGGGCCAGAGAGTCAGCCCACCTAAAGGACGATCATGGTCAAGAAATAGGTAAACAAGGGCTCTTGGTGACAAGTGATGTGGCTGAGGAAAACCGTAAATGCTGTATTTGCCCTTCACAAACTAGAAGCACCAAAAAGTAGCAATCCAACTAATGTGTTAATTAAAAATGTGACAAATTTAAATAGGACCAGTTTAATACTCTACAACACTTTTTTGACAAGAAACCTCAAAATTGTTCACCCTAAAGTGTCAGCTGAAGAACATTTTGGTATGTATTTTCCGCAAATGTGTCAAATTTCACATATCTAAGTTCTAACAGAAGTGTCAAATTTCATATATCTAACGTAAGTACGGAACATGCAATAAAGTGCAGCAAAGAGAAATTAACATTGGTACACCTGTCAGTGGGGGACTGAGCTCCGAGAGCTCGGCTGTGGTAGGAGTGCCTCCAGCTGTCTCGCAAGGGAGCAGTTGATCCAGAGGGCTGACATTGAATGCAACACAATTGCGTGAGAAACAGAACACAAGACAATGTGGCAAAACTTAACACCATTGCAGTTAGTTAGACTACTACCCAACAGCACATTCCAGATACTTTTCAAGTCTAGTTTTCACATCCAGTGAGGAAATGTGTTGTGAAAATAAAACCTTTGTATCAATGACATGTTCATGTAAAATCCCACAAAATGTTGCAGCACTGCAATTTTGAATATGCTTTCACTTTCAGATGTAATGATGTATACTGTAGCATCAACTACCAGACTGGTAAATAAATAAAAAAAATTGACTGCCCAGTGCTGCAAGTATGTTGTGGGTAGTTTTGAAATGCAAACTTTCTAACCAGTTAGAGCTACTAAATTATGAAGTATTTACTGCTTTATCCATGGAGGTACTTTTAGTAGCAAAACATGGTTTATCATATGTCTTCACAAGGCAAGTCATTTCATAGTACTACTTAGAAAACCGTACAAACTTTACATAAAGTACAATATACCTATAGCCAGGTAACTGACTTCCAGCATCAAGATACCCTAGACTTGGAGCTTATGGGGGCCTTGGGAGATGTGCTTTGCTCACAATTCCTCTGCCCTTTCTCCACATGGCTTGGTTTCCGCTCCACCACAAACCAAGCCACACCATCCTTGTCAGCTCAACTGACAACCTTGAGAAGAAACATCATACAACATGAGACCTTGACAATCAATTATACAATTTACAGATAAGGCACAAATTGAACTCATGGTACATAAATATACAAATACTGATTTGATTGATTCCTGTCAACCACTGTTTCCTGAGTTGAGTTACCCCCTCTTGTGGGTGTACTTTCTGACGCGGCTGAAGAATGACCCTAGTCCGAGTATGTCCTCCTCAGAGTCTGATTCACAGTCCTCGACCCTCCATCTCCAATCGCCCTTGGTGTTGGGTTTCCATGTTCCCCGTCTTCTTTCCTGTTCCACTGCGTCTATTGCACTGCTGAGAGATGTGTGTGTGGTTGGTACAACTTTGGCATCAGGTGTGACACTGACCACCTCGTTTTTGTTCAAGTCTCTTTGGATACCAAAGCTGCTGTCTTGACTTTCCATCTCCTGGTCTTCCTCTTCTTCCTCATCGTCATCCCACCGTGATCTAACCGGCGCAACAGCGCTATCGGTGGATGGTGGATTGTCCTTTGTCAGCTGTAAGTCACTGTCTTTCGTAAGCTGAAAGTCCTCGCTTTCCTCAGCCTCATATTTCTGCTCGCGGATGGCGATCTGTTCGGCCCTGATGTCTTCAATCACTCGCCTGACGGTGGCCTCGAGCAAGGCTTTCTTACGGAAATCGGGCGACCTCCTCTTCTTGACCGCTGCTGACTTCTTGCGGAGGGCAGCTGCCAGCAGATGACTGACGTTTGCAGGTGACGCATTTTGGTGGGGTGCCATATTTGTTCTGGCCGGTCGATATGCAAATGAGTTCTCAAAAGCCGGATCCCTTGTCTGCTTTCCACGAAAACAACAGGAAGTTGTGTAGTCTTGCCGCTTCTACTTCCTCAATCTTGACAGTTTTTAGTAAAATAATAAAATTTTTCGTTTCTAATGAGGATTTTGGAAGTCCCTTGGTAGATTTTGCGGTGACAAATACCTCGGTCGATCACGTTTCAGTGCGGATGACTAAGCAGATACGTGGCACGGCGTGGTCTTTTGCTGAGAACTGTACTTGTCCACACCCAGAAGGCTGTATACCTACAAAAAACACAAAATCCCAACCTCATAAGTAACGTGGAAATACAGGTCGACAACTTAAAGCTCTTTGTGGTCGGTTCTAGCCATGAAAATTGTACAAATTTGAAGTTTTAACTGCGCAATTCGACGAACCTTTGAGAAGGTCATATCGTCCCGTCACTCGTACAAAGAAATCGTCAACATAAATGGCTTAAAACGTGAAAAATATCCAACAGTTACGCTCACCTGGTGTCTTAGTAGTGTTCTCGACAATCTCGGATAGACGAATATGCCTTTTGCGGCCAAATCTTGGGGAAAATCGCAGCAGTTTTCCTTCCTTGAAGACAACACTTTGTTCTCCAGGAGGAAGTGTGACGAACGTTCGACAAACGTCCTGTGACGTAAGAGCCAATCACGCAAACGTCAGTCAAACATATCATTCCGCAGAAAGTAGTAAGGGGCTTTACTGAACAACAAAAATAAATCATAGCTGTGCGAAAGTACTAATTATTTTAGATTTAACATCAAACACCTAACTTGTGAACGTCGATGTGATTTTAATTAGAACCTTTGCAATAACTTAGCAAAGAAAACATTTATGTAACCCGCGGAGGATGAGAAAATTGGATGAGTAAACCGGTCCGCCGCGGGAAACTGGGAAGGGTGGTTACCCGGGTGACGACATGGTTATTTTCGTCCCAAGGTCTGCCGCAAAACGTACTTGATGTCGTAAACACACCAAATCCATCACCGAAGAGCATGAGTTCATGACAAAAACACGACCTGAAGCTACTGACAGAAAAAAAATCTGCACTACGTATCATTTATATTGATAGGATCACAGACAGGATCATCCAGTCAATAATGGGGAAAATGCACCATTGGCCGAATGATCCTGTCAATAGTGCAAAATTATTTGTAGATGTAATAGATGTAGATTCTAGTATTTGTTATTGACATGATCATCATTTCCCGGACGTGAAACTAGTTGGTGAAATAAAATAATAATACTAATTCTGTGCTCTATCAAAGTGCACGCATGTGTTAGAGAACCTAATTGCCTTTGGTTTGTCCTTGTTTTGACCAAGGGGATTCAGTACGATGTGTTTTGATGTTTGGCGTATTTCGAAGAAGCATTACTTCGTGTTAAACAATTGAAAAAAAAAATGAAATGATCAGAAAACAAAATGATGAGTGTGATGCATTGGAAAAGATCTTCCTTCGTTTTCTTTCCTCTCTTTTCTTTGCACCAACTCAAATGAATAGTTTTGCACAAGAACACCCTGGTGTCAAATCAAATGAAATCAACACCCTGGTGTGGACTGCGAGAGGAAAAGTTTTATTTCATTTTATTATTTCATTTAATTGAAATAAAAAAAAACTTCATTGAAAATGTACACCTGTAAAGAATAAACCGAAACCGCATATCAAGGTTAGGCCATGTTGATTTGATTATATGGATGTCATCCTCCGGGAACCCCAAAACTGATGCGCGCGTGCGAATAAAAAAAAGTTTTGCAAAAAAAAAAGTTGTTTTCATTATGAAATGTACGTGGTCATGAAGGTTGAACAAATGGCACAGAATATGGTATGGCGAATAATCTACTCTTCGAATTCATTTCTTTACAATTTCGTGTTTTTTCGTTTGATTTTGGCATTCTACGACATTGGTATGGTTTTTTTTTGTAACTTACGGTATATTTTTGCTCATTTTGCAACTGTTTAGTACGATTTACAGTATGGTTGAAAACTTTTTTTTTTGGAAACGGCCGAAAATTCATGCGCGCGTGGATGTCATCCATATAATCAAATCAACATGGCCTTACTTTTAAAATGTCATTGCCCAAACATAGCCTCCTTGAGAAATTGCCCTTTAAAGTTTAAATGTGGCGCCGCTGTTCCTGATTGGTCACTCAGTGCGACACTCCCACGGACCAACCAATGACAAAGCAGCGCTTTGGAAAAAGCCCACAGACTGTCCAATCACAAAGCAGCGCTGTGGAAAAAGCCCACACACCGTCCAATGACGGACCAGGAAATCCCTTCCCGGCTTTTTGTTGCGACATGCTGGGTGAGCTAGGTACACAGATTTGGAGCAGAGCTCGCGATCGCAGCAGCAGCAACAACAACAGTGCAGACATCGATGCACGAACTTCTCACGATAACTGACGTTATAACTTAGCTGAGGGGTCTGCCAGTTAAATGAATCATGTCGGGCCTCCCTCTGAAACAGGTAATCAGAATGCATTGTACTCGGTTTGAACCTCCTTGAGGTGACTTTATTTTGTCATGTATGTAGGGGAGGGGGGCAGATTGTATACAGTAAACATCGTGCAGCTCCCCAAAACGGGGTTTATATAATAAAACAGGCCACGTCATGACATGTATCATAAGTGTGTTTAAACGTTATGTATGTTAGCTTATTTCTCCTGAGACATTTAACGTTGCTGGTAGTGGGCTAGGGCATAGGGCAGTGTAAAAAGTGAAAACACTTTCAAAGTGTCTGATCAAGGACCCTATACGGGTATCTGTATATTGTCCTAGGTCTGATGTAGTCTCCACCAGACTTCTTTTGCAGGCTGAATAAATACCTTGAGGATACATCAGTGGCTAAGTAGAATTCAGCCTGCAAAAGAAGTCTAATGGAGGCAAGGTCTGATGGAGGATTTTCGTTGACGTCATCAGTAATTATAATTTGATACCTGGCAACAATAATTGGCGGGTAGTGGATTACAGCAACAGCATCTTGGCATATTCAAAAGACATACACTGTCATCCCACAAAGCACAAGTGACACCATGTAAGAAGTCTTAGTAACCTTAACTTTATAGTTTGTGTATAAGGTTTAGTCATTAGTCTTAAAATGAAGTAATCAGTTGTGACACCTGACTGACGATTACATGTATTATTGTCCCTATCCCCTTCAGCTGCTGGTGGTTGCAGGCATACTGTTCACCCACCACTTTGGATCCAGCGTGATTTTTCCATTCCTACCCTTCCTCACCCATGACTTTTTCCCATACCTCAAGCCAAACCAGATAGGTAAGTAACCATATACTTAATACTGGTTCATGATGACGTTGCTGAGAGTGTCATTTTAGCAAACACACACAAAAACATAGTTGCTGATACATCATGATCAGTTTGCACACAGTTGAATAACAAGTTTTCTAAAAAGACACTCTATTTGAGTAAGAAAAAAAAAAGTCAAGGAAACAAAAAGTTGCCATTTTTATTTTCTCCCAGGCTTGACCATTAGTAAGAGTCTATGACTAGTTGGGCAACCATGGCTTTACCATTGCCTGTGTCAGAATTTGTTAATATGAGTACTCAAAGCTTGGTTTTGATTTAGGAAATGAAAAATGTACAGCTGTGATGACTATAACTTCTATTGTTTCCCCTGTCCCAGGTTACTATGCAGGCTTCCTGGCAAGTGCCTACTTCACTGGCAGCTTCTTTGGGAGTTTCATGGTGAGAGCCTACAAAGAATCAGTGCCCTTACAGAGTGCAAATTACTGGATACTAAGTATATTAACTCACTCACTCACTGTCCGGTTTAACGTCTATATTGTACATGTATTCTTGTTGCTGTTGCCTTGGCCACCATGATCAAAAATGAAGTCTTAATTCCCTTCTAGCCCATTAAAAGCAATAAGAAAAGTTCAAAATTATCTACTGAATGCTAATGAAGAGTAGCAAGAACTTAATGTATTATACCACTATTGCAGACTAATGTTACTAATTTAAATTAAATTCTAGCAATAGCCTAAATTTAGCTGGTGTTTTCATGTAGAGTCATTTGCAAATTATTATTACAGTTTTAAAGAGTATAACAATTGATTATTAAATCTACACAGATATACAATATAGTATAAAGTCCATCAATAGTTTAAAATCATTGAGTACACCTTTGATAAACATTACCTTTAGAGTCATAGCCGTCATACATGGCAATATCAAAATATAAAAACACTACTCTGGAAACTGCTATCTTGAAATATGTCAAACTGCTCTTGTGTCTTGTGACACATTACTCATAGCTGTGGCTACAGGTTTAGCTGAAGTAGACAACATGCCATGTATTAGACTGCAAAAGGAAAAGATCGACTTTTCCACACAACCTCCTTCACACATTGAATTGCACCACCCCTTACTATTTCCTGTGCTCTCTCTTCCAGTGGGGCCGACTGTCTGATTCCCTGGGTCGTAGGTACATACCAACAAGACTTCACCTCCTGTTCATTAGTTAACATGACGATTTGTTGATGACATGGATTCCCAAGGTGGAAGGGTTTGCTGCCAGCTGGACAAAGGATGGGCTCACTGCTGACCGCTGTTGACCAACTCAAAGCCTGTCTTTCGCCCTCAGCGTAGGCGAGGGTGTTGGCTGATGGACAACAGTCATCACGACCGAATTCAACTCTTCACATCCAAACGTCACAGGCCAATTCTAATTACCAGTTCAAATTAAAACTGGAAGCTTAACCTTCTCCCTGCTGCTTAACCCTGTATTGTTAAACCAATACAAATTTGGTGCCAAATGGCTACTATAGCAGGAAGAAGGTTAAAATAAAAAATATGATCATGATTCAAATTCAAATGAAGTCAGCATTGCTGTCATGACTTCCCTTTTAAACTTGTGATCTGTTTTGACTTACTTTAGTAACTGCAAAACTTTTTTAGAAAAGAAATATAAAATGTCTGAAATTTGAATTTCAATGTAGAACTTGTAGTGCTTGCACAACGGTGTGGCCAAAGGGCTATAGAAACGGTGATGGGCTCTGTCCTATACGTTGAAAGGTGTCGGAAGGATTTTAACTTAACTAGCTTAACACCACAGGTGAAAAGTGCCTGCAGGTTGACGTTGTTTCTCCACTCGTCCACAGTTGCTTGCCAACCTATTGATCATATTCCTGTCTTTTCTGTTTTAGACCCATCCTTCTGTGTGGTATAGTGGGGTCTATGTTCAGCAGCGCATTTTTTGGATTCAGGTAAGCAATTGTGTCACAATAAAGCTATCTAATTTAAAAGTTAGTTTGCATAACTTTTAATCCACTAAATTGTGGAACTTTTGTGGTGATTTTATTTCATGTAAGTAGGGAGGTTTTCACTATGTTTTGATTTTGTGCTTAAAATAGTTCCATAGTCATACTTATTACTTACAACTTATTACAGGAAAAAGTAGAGAAGTTTACATTGAGACAGTACATGTATGTCAATTAACATGCTGTATACACATGTACAATGAACCTGGATTGGAATCTTCCTTTAATTTATCTTGAGTATTTTGATGACAAAAATTGGATTTTTCCAGATTTGCATACTTGGACAGTGCCATCATCACAGTGTCACATTAAAGGTGACCATGTGTTTGTTTGTTTGTTCTGAAATGGCAGATTTTTCCTTGTTTTTCTCCCCAC